GTGAAGGACAAGGTGGTACCCCCCCCTTACAAGTACCAAAGCTGACCTGTCTAGCCAGTGCTTTTTCCCCTTAAAAAAATGTCTAGGGGTACTCTCATTTTGACTCAAGAAAATCACCATTTTATAGTTCAAATCGGGAAAAATAAATACAGCAAATGGACAAAAGTACAAAGATTCACAAAATGTTTAGGGGTGTGCGTACCCCTGCATCCCCCCAGAAAAAAAGCACTGGGTCTAGCATTACTTTACTGCTGCCAGTGGAAAAGCAGCAAACTAGCTTAGGAAAAGCAGAGCAAGTTGTGTGGCAAACAAAACTCCAGCACCAGGCTGCCTTTCCCTTACTCCTGGCATCAGCTGCCTGAGGGGACCGACTCGCATTGCCCAATGGCAGGGCCGACCCTGGTCTCGTCTTAGCAAGCATATTATGAGATTGTGCCCCACACAGTTCTGTGAACTACTGAGAAAATGTTGCCATTTATGGCCCCATCTGCCCTATGCATTTTAAGCAGCACCATATCACTTAGAACAGCCACGGCTTCCCCCAAAGAATCCTGGGGGGCGGCAGAGCGTGAAGGATGCCAGTTGTCGTTAGGAGACCCTCTATTCCCCTCACGCAGCTACAGTTCCCAGGGTGGTTTAACACCCAGCCTCTCTTCCTGGGGAACTCTGGGAAGGTACTCATAGGCCTCATGTAGCATTTAAAAATTCCGATCAGGCAATTTAAGGGCACAATCAGCAAGCGGGAAGTTCTGCCATGCAATCCTAACTTAAATTAATCACAGCTATGTAAGGCCATAGCAGTATTCTTGCAGGGCACCCATTCATTCAAAACCCATTCAGAAGGGTTGAGGACTTTGGCCATGGGGTGTGAACTCTTCCTCTCCCCCCCCCATCCCCCTCTGAAGCTGCTATTTGGTAAAAGAGGGGGCCGCTAGTGGCGCCAATTACGCAGCTTTGGGATGGTACGGGAGTAAAAAGTTAACCGACCCCTCACCATCACCCCAGTACTGAATGCCTCCATCAGCTGACAATTTAAAGTGGAAAAAAAAACACCACTCACACTGTAAGTTTATCTATTAAACGGTTAAAATAGCACTATTTTAAAAGCATTTAAAGCATTCCTATCCAGTAAAACCACTTTCATGTGTTAAGTGGCAGTTAAAGGTTACCTTCTGCATCTGTTATACTCACAGAGCTCTTGAAAACAATGTTTTCTTGGAAACTGTTGTATTTTAGTCCCCACATATATTTTTATATCTCTCTATCTCTAATAATATTTTTATTTCTAATTCCAATTGCTTTACACACCAAAGACCACAGTGCAGAATATCTCCATAATTTTCTTTTCCTCATATATGAAACCGATCATCATCTTTTTTGACCAACTCTTATTTTTATCAGCATTTGGTAATGCTGAGAGCCAGATAACAGGCTGGCCAGATATATTTCAGTACTTGCTGTACAGCTTCCTCCGCCCCCCGCCCCCCGCGCATACATTAATAGACACAGAGGCATGATCTCCAATAGAATGTTCTCTTTGCAACCCTCACAAAACAAATATACCCGAGTTCCATTTTGTTGAACCAGGGCATGAGATGGGGGGGGGGGAGAGAGATTGTATTTAGAAGATTGCAATGACACAAAACTGTAAGTAGCTTTAATTAAAAAGACTGGAATGCCCTATGGAAGGCATGGTCAGCTAGCAGAGGGTCCCTTCTGTCTCATGTTATGTTATAGGACACCCTTGAGAGCTGTCATCTGGGGATCTGGAACACAGATTCATCAGTATTTAAATGACATGCCACTCTATTCCATTGGAATTGGGAGAGCAGTGATGGGAGAGCACTGGAAGCAGTGATGGACTGGAAGGGGGAGGGAATAAGCTGAGGCTAAATCCTGATAAGGGGACGTGGGTGGCGCTGTGGGTTAAAGCCTCAGCTCCTAAGACTTGCCGATTGAAAGGTTGGCGGTTCGAATCCCCGCGGCGGGGTGCGCTCCCATTGCTCGGTCCCAGCGCCTGCCAACCTAGCAGTTCGAAAGCACCCTCGGGTGCAAGTAGATAAATAGGGATCGTTTACTAGCGGGAAGGTAAACGGCGTTCCGTGTGCTGCGCTGGCTCGCCAGATGCAGCTTGTCACGCTGGCCATGTGACCCGGAAGTGTCTGCGGACAGCGCTGGCTCCCGGCCTATAGAGTGAGATGGGCGCACAACCCCAGAGTCTGGCAAGACTGGCCCGTACGGGCAGGGGTACCTTTACCTAAATCCTGATAAGATGGAAGTGTGCTGAGTGGGTCCCATGTCCAGGAATTAATTAGATGTGTGACCTGTTCTGGAAGGGGCTGCAGCCCCCCCCTTGAAGAACCAGCTTCATAGTCTGGTCCTGGATTCCAACTTGTGAGTCTCGAGTGGCTTCTGTGCCTAGGAGTGCTTATGCCTAGACTGAGACTGCTTTGCCCACTACAGCCATTTCTAGAGCCGGAAAAGTTGGCCTCAGTTGTCCATCCCTGAGAGACCTTCCACTTGCACTACTTGAAGATGGCTGGGGGGCAGGGAGGGGGAACTACGCAGAATGCAGCCCCTGGGTCAGTCAGCAGGGCCGCCAATGAGACCGTGTCACTGTTCTGGAAAGAACTGCCCTGACTGCCGATGAGCTACCGGGTCCAATTCAAGGCGTTGGTACAGCATTAGCATTTAAGGTCCTAAATGGCTTGAGACTCAAGTACCGAAAATAACATATTCCTCAATATCAACCCATCTTGGACCCTACAATAAGCAGGTGAGGCCTTCCTTGGTGCTGGTGAATTTGTTTCCATCATTATTAACTTTCAGGGGGAATTGGAAAACATTCCCTTTTACCCGTGGCAACCCTGAGATCACTGGATGGAAGAATGCTGTTAACTGTACCTCTTTTTAGATGTTTTAACTATTTTTAACTATTTTTAAAATGCTCTCTCTCTCTCTGTGTGTGTGTGTTTGCCACCCAGGGCTCCTTGGGGAGGAGGAGTGCAATACAAATTTAAACAACGCCACCACCAACCTATTCTTTAGATGCAGACATTAGGAACGAGGAGCATGATTTCAGCCTTAAAGTCTTGGTTTTATCAAGTCCATATCTGACTTTCACAGTAATTGAATGCAAAAACAAAAAGTCTTAATAATATAAGAACAGAAACAAATTTATTATGGCATGAGCCTTTGTGGGCCAGAATCTGCTTCATTGGGTGTGTCAAGTGTTATCTGCAGCCGTGTGCATATAAACACACATGCACACACACACCAGGATGGGGTGAAGGACAGTAAGACATGAAGTCAAAGACAAATGAAATGTAGGAAGCAGAAAACACTGGCAATTGGGCCGTAGTCTGGATGCATGCAAAGAATGCACAATGAGCTTTCACAACTGCAGAGTCTTTTAAAGTGTCACTAAATGCCTTGCTGTTTTTTCCTCCAAAACAGAATGGAAATAATTTAAAGGTGTGTCAAAGGAAAAAGGAAAAACAAAAACAGGAGAAAACATGCACCATAACAAGTGAAAATTAGCAGCTATACTTTAATGTTTTCTGGATTACAGTCATATAATAACCTGAATCATACATGTAATATTGATCAAATAAAAATATTGACCCAATCATTTTTGGGCTCCAGTGCTACGGTTTTAGTTGGCTCTTGAGTAGCCTGGAAGCTAAGGAACAGAGAAAAATAAAAAACCCGAACGAGCAGAATCCCATCTGCTCAAAATACAAGTCTTACTGAGTGAAATGGTGCTTACTTACATGTAAGCAGAGATGTAGGACTGTAGCCTTTCAGAATTTTGCAAAAGATAACCGAACATAAAAAACAAACATTCATTGGTTCCATTGTGGTCTATTAAGCACACCCGACAAGAATACCCACAACGCAGTCGTCCCTTTTTGTTGAAGTTACGTCAGCAAAAGAGTAAAACCAAGTAAAGCTGCAGGCTGCCTACTCCACAGGAACAGGATGAGACCTTAGAAGGTTCTTTATAGATATTGGGTATTTCCAGCATACCCTAAACTTGAACATAGCTGAAATGTGTAGCAAAATGAGTAACAATGATTATTATTGGGAGCCTGTGAAACTCTTGCTGGGTGACCTTGGGCCAGTCACACTTCTCTGAAGTCTCTCAGCCCCACTCACCTCACAGAGTGTTTGTTGTGGGGGAGGAAGGGAAAGGAGAATGTTAGCCGCTTTGAGACTCCTTAGGGTAGTGATAAAGCGGGATATCAAATCCAAGCTCTTCTTCTTCTCCCCCCCTTAATTATCTGGACTGCTGCCTGGTACCTACCTGGTCAACTCTAGGGCAATATGTGGGGAGGGAGCATTCACAGGGAAGTACAGAGTTTGACAAGGTACGGAACCTTGCTTTAATCTAGCTTCCCCACAACTATGGGGAAACAAAACAATTAATTTGACCTGGAGAAAAAAATGGCTTTCCATGGACCACCACCATACCCAGTACAAGACTGCCAGTTGAGTCTGGTAAGGGAATCATCTAATGTTGGTAACTGATGCTGAAGTTGGCAAGGCCAGCACAGCACCAACACCCATTAAAAGCTGGGCAGTTGCCCAAAGCTTTGGGAAATTGAAGGATCTGCTGCAAGCCCTTACCTGCCAGCTCCACTTCTCTTGGGAGAACAGGTCTGTTAGTCTTTAGGGAACTGAAAAGGATGCTACACACTGGTTTCAACGGAGGCAATTACCCAGATAAGTTATTTTTACCATTGATCTTACCCCTCAATAGAATTGCTGTATTACAAAACCTAATTACCCCAGTGGCCTTAAATGGATCCAGGTATCTTAATATATTGGACACACATTTCTAATCAAGGCCCCAACCTAGTCACGCTGGGGCTGTTTTGAACTCTCAAGGCTCAAGGCATACCAGGTCCCAGTAAATGAACAAGCCCAGCACTGACAACACACACACTCGAAAAACAACCATAGATGGGATGGAATGAAGTTCCAGCTCCAATCAGCAGTACTTTTCAAACAGGATGAATCTACTACCATCATCCTAGTTTTATATCAATGATTCAATATGATTCAAAGGAAGACAACAATACAATTGAACGTAAAAAAAAACCAGAAGTCTTTCTCTCTCATATACAAACCACTTCCTTGGCAATGCTATTTCAGGCTAGGGACACACCTTTCATCTAGACAAGGCACCTATTGTGGCACCTTTCTTCTGAAATGCTGGGCTTCTTAGATCTTGTGTCTGTTATCAAGCTTAATATATGATCTGAGAAATTCACAAAGCCTAAATCAGATACACCGCAATCATGAACTATTTACATGATTAAATCTGGACTGGCTCAGGCTGAAGATAAGTGCACACGCTATACATTGTTGGTTAGATTTCAAAATATATACAGATTCAGTTGGTTTTATTTACAAAACAGCTGCCACTTCATGAAAACTATTCTGATACACTAAAAGTTCTAATCTGGCTTGAAAAAAAATAGCCCACAAAAGCAGAGTGGGGCCCTGATTTCGTTTAAAAGTAGGAAATGACACGGATTAAGCAGGTGGTAAAAAACCTGAGATTCAAATAATTCCTTAAACATGAACTTGGGTGTAAGAGTCCAAGAAATCCTTAGCATGCACAGTGCATATAAAGTCACCTGTTTAACAGTTCTTCTTTGAACATGACTACAAGCTCAATCAAGGAGGTGAGCAGCTGTTGATCAGATTGTGTACCATCAACATGGGAAATGTCACTTTTCCCTTAATGGAAGCACCAAAGTAACTTTGCATCTACAGGACTTCTTTGGGAATTACTTTCAGAGTAGCTGATCTCCCCACAGAACACGCAGCTCCACACTATAGAGAGGCAGCAGGAAGCTACTGGCTGCAGCTGCCAGCCCCCAGTAGCCAGGCAGCCAGTTCTCATAGATCAAATTAATCCTTGTCTGGTGCCTTTGAAGCTTCCACTACAGCAGATTCTGCTTCTTCAGATTTTGAGGGGACACTGGAAAAATTACCAGGAAACATTCAAAGGCTTCTTGCCCCAGAAGTGGCAAGTAAGTGGCCAGGTCCAGCGGACAGTATCAGCAGCAAGGAAGCAGAGTAGTGAGTGACTCCTAAAAGGGCCCCCTGTGGCAAACTCCAGAGCCTGGAGCAAGAATGATGGACCCAGCCTCCTATCGCTGATAAGCATGGAAGGTCCGAAACTGCAGCCAATTGGAAATGCTGATGGGCCCTTTGATCAACTGCTTCCCACTCACCACCCTCTGCCTCAGAAAACAATTATCCGTTTTGAATTTGCATACATTTAAATGAATCAATGACCAGTTTCACTTCCTTGAGCAACCCTCCTCTCCATTATTTCCTTCTGTTAATTTTGAATTATACTTTGCCATCTCCTGTACCACAGATCAACCCTGGTTATGACCACATTGAGATCAAAAAAATTTCTAGGCTGAAGGAATGATTGTGGTGACCAAAACATAAGATGCAAAAATATTCCTATTAAAAATAATTTTAGACTATCCTGTTTTTGGATTCTCCATTTTCCAGTGTAGAAGACAAGTTGTGCTCTTGTTCTTGCATTGATTTGCTCTTGGCTTCAAACTGGTCCATTTCACGGATTTCTAAAGGCACCTTCTTCCTGGCAAATGCCTGGTTGATTTCAGCAAGAGTCTTGTTTTTTGTTTCAGGCAGAACTAAGAAAAGGAAAGTGGCACCAGCAAGACAGACGACAGCGAAGACCAGGAAACAGTATGTCTGCAAGCCTTCCTGAAAAAACAAAGCAAAACGGACACCCCACCAGCATTACTAATAGCACAAAAACAACCAACAGAAATCATTTTGAGAACATGTGAGTACAATATAAAGAAATGAGCACTTCCTTTTTTAATTAACGAGGAGCCACCCCTACACCTCAAGTCTGGGATTAGAGCTTCTAGCACAGAGACCTCGACTCTAGAAAAGGTTCAGCCCCAGCTTCCTCTCATTTTAGAAACAGAGTCCTGTCAAAAGCCATGAGGCTCTTAGCAACAAGACCTATAGAAAATCACCCAGGAGTGAACTAAAAGGTAATTAATGCAACTAGTTTGAAATAGCTGTCGTTATTATCAACTACTGACTGGTACAAGCCATACTCTTTTAAAACATGAATAATTCAATTATGAAGGAACCAACCAGGCAAGGCTTCAAGCAAGGGCAATCGTAGAATATTCTGGGGCACCCTAAGGTCTGCCACTGAGTTAGCAGCCAACAGGGTGCCACAACAAATCACAGCTGCCTTCCACTTATGAGATGCACAGCTGCAGTGAAATATTCCAGTTTTGCCACCCTATTTAGCAGTGGCAAAAGGGGGAAACTTCAACTATTTTCGGGGTGAAGTAACGTTTGGGATGTGTGTGAAAATTACCAGTGCCCTCCTGATCCTTCATGCTGCCAGCTGACATTTCAAAAATCCACACAAAGCCCTGGAACAATGTGAGGTCATGTCAGCTTTTTATTATCTTAGGTTGTATCCAGTGCTGCGTAGTGCCAGGTAGCTCACTGGGACAAGACGGTTTGAGCATATGACACCGATCCTGGTCCAATTGCACTGACTGCGAATTAGTTTCCAGGCCCAGTTCACAGTGCTGGTTTTCACCTATAAAGCCTTAAACAACTCAGGACCACAATACCTCCAGGACCGCCTCTGCCCATATGGATCCTGTGATCAACATCTGAGGCCTTTCTTTGTGTGCCTCCTCTGCAAGAGGTCCAGAGAGTGGCAACCCAAGAACGGGCCTTTTCTGCAGTGGCTCCCCACTTGAGGGATGCTCACCCCATAGAGGCTCACCAGGCACCTTCACTGCATATCTTTAGGCACCAGCAAATGCACTCCTCTTCTCCCAGGCCTTTGGCTAATTAAGCAACGGCCTTTTATGTGTGTGGCGGTGGGGTTATTGTTTTTGTTTGTTATTATGCTACGTATTTCTGTGTTAATTTTATACTGTAAACTGCCCTGTGATCCTTGGATCAAGGGCAGTATTTAAAATAAATGAATAAATGATGATAATAATAATGAGTGAGATTCCACTCACAAAATGAAATGTCTCCCTCCCTGTCCTCCTCTTGCAGTGTCCCCAAACCCCCCACCAAAAAAAATCTGTTCTGGAGGATGCCCCAACCCACTGGAGCAGATTTTGAAGGTGCACACAAAGGAGGAGGAGGTCGACAATGAGAGAAAGACGTCCCATCACATGAATGAAAGTCTGTCCCACTCCAACAATGGCAGTGACGGATACAGCCCTCTGCTGGCAATTTTATGTTATCGGCTGCCTCAGGGGCCTGATTTTAGCTAGATCTGTGCAGGTGTTGGAAGTTGCTGCTGTGAGCGTGCATTTTAAGCCTGTCTATAAGTAACACAAGTGCAGATGTAGCTGACACAGAAAGTCAAAGAGTTACCCAGTTTATCCCACCGATATGTGGTATACAGCACTCCTACATTTCTGCATCACGCTGACTGTGCGAGACTGAAGGAACAAGACTCCTGGTCCTCCCGCCTGAAGGAAAGGGAGTCCTGAAATTCCCTAGACAGAATCTGCATCTGACGCTCTTAGAATCACTGTCCAATTGTGTGGTGATGGTAGGAACTAGGGAGAGGGCAATTTATAAAGTGTTGGCAAGGGAGATGTTCTGTCTCTGTAACCAGATTTGTCATCCTCAAAATGTTCCACACTAAAGCTGACAGAATGTTCTACCCATGCTGAAATACAGCAATGAGCACGGAACTACATTAATTAAGGCAGCAATCCCTTGAAAAGAGTAGGACTTGCTTCTGAAACATGCATAAGACTTCGCGGCAAAACACAATCACACTGGCAGTGCTACTTTCGCAAGTTTATGGAATTACAAACTTTTAGGACACTGACCAAATGTAGCAAAGATCCTTGGAGGCTCCTTGCATTCTTTTCATAATTCACAGGGGGGAAAGTGGATAACCTGCTTCCTTTTTGCAAAATGAAAGTAATCTTTAAAGCAAAATTCACCCACTTTTTAAAATGGCAGATTTCAGCAGTGAGCATCTGCTGCTAAAGGCGCCTTATTACTCATGCCTGGACGGTGTTCCATTTGCTATGGACTATAATTTGCAGGGCCAGACCTTTAGAGACCCTAAGTGCTGAAAATATGATGGTGTCCCCATATAAAATTAAACATAAAACAATACTAAACCAGAAAATAAAATTACGTAGTAGAGTGTAAGAAAGTCTAAGTTCTGTTTTTTGCCCATGAGGATTAGTTTGATGCATTTTGTGAAAATGAAAAATAAAATTATGTCAAAAACAATCTCCTCAATTTTTTGGTGCCGCTGCTTTGCTGGCGCCCTAAGCATGTGCTGTTACTGGGCAATCCAGCGCTGGCTACATGGCAAAAAGGGGAAGAGAAGCACATTCTCATGTACTTCTTCACTTTCAGGGAAAGAAAAGATCTCAATAAAGAAATCCTGCAGTGGATGAGAGAAGAAAACATGTGCAGAAAATGAGGTGTGAAGCAAGCTGTTAAGGCTTGGAGACAGATCAATAATAATGCAGAATTATAAAACAATGCAAAAACCACACTGTTATTTAGCATGTATATCCTGCTCTTCTGCAGCTTATCCAAAAAGAATAAGCAGAAATGTTAATGTGTCTATTTAATGGACTGTATATTTTTGCATTGCACTTGCTCTTACTTCACCTTCAGACCAAACTATGCAGTTTCAAAGACTCACTTGTGAAGGAAGGCAATAACCAAGAGATGCCCAGAAGCCACAGAACAGGGGCCCTCACAAACCAGGGTTCCTGCTGCCATGTAACGATGAGAGACTGAGCCTATTTAACTCCTTGTTGGCATATGGAGACTTAAAAAAACAACAATCACATCAGGAACATAATGATGTGAACTGCGCCTTTATTTATCTGACCATTAAAACTGTGTTTTGGCAGGTAACCAGTTTGAGGGGCTGAAACTCGCCATGTTGACACATTTTCAGAGAGAGACTGAAATACATTTGTGACTATGAGCTCATGCTAAACTCTGATCCTTTGATTTTCATAGATGCTCAGCCCATCTCTTCACTGCCCACATGCATCAGGATCAAAAGAGCCTTTATGCCTTGGGCAGACACACCTTTAAGCAGGATACCAAAGAAATGTAAATATTCACTAGTTCATGAGACCTGAGAGTCCCTGGAATGTACTGTCAGGATTCATCACATCAGTTTCGATCTCAGCCACAAGCTGAGCCTATGTATTGTTTAGCAAGAAAGCTCCACCGTTAGTGGATCCGAGAAGATCTGGAAAGACTGACTTATTACAATTCCTCTCTCTCTTCTGAATAAGAGCTGGGTCAACATGCCAAAATAATCCTAATTGCATGTAGGTATAAAAATATTTGGCGGACGCGGTGGCGCTGTGGGAAAAGCCTCAGTGCCTAGACTTGCTGATCGAAAGGTCGCGGTTCGAATCCCTGCGGCGGGGTGTGCTTCCCGTTGCTCGGTCCCAGCGCCTGCCAACCTAGCAGTCGAAAGCACCCCTGGTGCAAGTAGAATAAATAGGGACGCTTACTAGCGGAGAAAAAAAGGGGAAACGGCGTTTCCGTGTCAGCTCTGGCTCCCAGAGCAGCGGATGTCACGCTGGCCACGTGACCCGGAAGTGTTTCCAGACAGCGCTGGCCCCCGGCCTCTAGAGTGAGATGGGCGCACAACCCTAGAGTCTGGCAAGACTGGCCTGTACGGGCAGGGGTACCTTTACCTTTACCTTATAAAAATATTTAATTGTTTTACTTTTGAAAAACAGGACCAGGGGATGGGTGCTTCTTCTGTCTTGTGTCAAAACTCTGCTCTTAATAACTGGGTTTAATCTCAGCAAATTTAAGATATGCTACTTGGGTTTATGCCCTCCTTATCTGATAGGGATGACAATGTGTATCTGATGCACAGGACCGGCCCAAGACATTTTGGCGCCTGAGACAAACCACAAAAGCAGTCCCCCACCAGGAAAGAAGTGCTGAGCGAAGATCTATATCAGGAACGGAGGGCGGGGGAATAAAATCAACCTTTATGTGATGGTTGAAGTGGGAATCAGGAGACCCAGGAGGTCAGCCCCCAACATTTCCTCCCTAGGGGTGGAAAGAGACCAGTAGCACCTCCGATTTCCCGACAGACAACTGTAGAGACGGCATTGGGAAGGAGGCTGATCCAGCCTCCAGTGCCGGTGATGCATTCTTTGGAAGCCAGATCAGCTGCCCCCATGGATCCTGCCACCTGAGGCAGTCGTCTCCCCTTGCCCTGTTTAGGGAAGCTTTTAATCTTTAATAGACTATTGTATTTTAATATTCTGTTGGAAGCTGCCCAGAGTGGCTGGGGAAACACAGCCAGATGGGCGGGGTATAAATCATAAATTGTTGTTGTTGTTGTTGTTGGCCCTACTTATCTGATGCTGACATGCGTTCCTTCTGTGGGGTGATCACAATCCACCTTCCTCCATCCCAAGAAGCAGCCATGCATGGAGCTGTGGAGCTCAAGGAGCTGATTTGAAGTATATTTAACACTATTGTCCAACAGTAGAACAGATGTGAAGTAATCCATAAGACATCATTAAGGAGATTAACTCAATGAATTAATTGTACTTTCCCCCCACTGAAATCAGCGGGTCTTCTATTTTGTCTAATTTGCCTTATTGATTTCAATTAAACCTAAGTTTGGATCCAGTCCTTTGTCACACACATCCAAGTATTCTGTGCAGCCATAAGGATTAGACACTTTAAAAACAGTACTAATAGTTGAACCCCCTTCATGGATCACTGCCTTGCCGTGGCGAAGGGGCTTGAATAACTCAGAGAAGCTATGAGCTATGCCGTGCAGGGCCACCCAAGACGGACAGGTCATAGTGGAGAGTTTTGACCAACGTGATCCACCTGGAGCAGGAACTGGCAAGCCACTCCAGTGTCCTTGCCAAGAAAACTCAGTGGACAAAGACAACTTGCCAACAAAGGTCCGTATAGTTAAAGCCATGGTCTTTGATGTATGGAAGTGAGAGCTGGACCATAAAGAAGGCAGATCGCCAAAGAATTGATGCTTTTGAATTATGGTGCTGGAGGAGACTCTTGAGAGTCCCATGGACTGCAAAAAGATCAAACGTATCCATTCTTCAGGAAATCAGCCCTGAGTGCTCACTGGAAGGACAGATCGTGAAGCTGAGGCTCCAATACTTTGGCCACCTCATGAGAAGAGAAGACTCCCTGGAAAAGACCCTGATGTTGGGAAAGATGGAGGGCACAAGGAGAAGGGGACGACAGAGGACGAGATGGTTGAACGGTGTTCTCGAAGCTACAAACATGAGTCTGACCAAACTGCGGGAGGCAGTGGAAGACAGGAGTGCCTGGCGTGCTCTGGTCCATGGGGTCACGAAGAGTCAGGCATGACTAAATGACTAAACAACAACAAATAGTTGAACAACAGTGTCCAGTATTTGGGAGAGGAATGAAAAAGGCTGGCCACCTCCTTTACTCTACTTGGCAACATACAGAAACTACAAATGAGGTAAATTTAAATCATCCTCACTTGTGGAGGCTGAGCTGAATCAGCGGTGAATCTGAGTAGCCATTCTGTTAAGGGCATCTTCGCTTTCCTTGAGACTTTTTAGACCTGCTGCCTTTAAAAGCTGCAGGGCTGGGGATACAAACAACCAGACAAAAGAAGGCCAGTGCTACCTTGTATGGGTTCGGATTTGGTTTCATTCACTATCCAAAAGTCTTTGGGTTTACAGTGAGAATTAAGGCACTTTCCATTTCTGGCAACGGTCCAAACAGCTAAGTTAATGTTAAGACTGCTCATACCTGAATGTAAGGGAAAAGAAGTCCAACGGCAAAGTTACAGAGCCAGTTTGTTATCCCAGCAATCATGAATGCAGCGGGCCTTTGAGACTGAGCGAAGAACTCTCCCGTAAGGACAAATGGGATCCCACCTGCAACAAAAAAGACAAGGGTAAGATGAACGGTAAACATGTCTCTAATCTGTAAAAAACCCCACAAGTGTTCATGTTTCAGCTCACCATCTCTGACTTCTTTTCACTAAAATACCTTAGTAATAGGCTTGGCGTTGGTGCAGAAACAGTATCATTTATATCCCACATGTGTGGTCTGAACAAAGGGCCATCAGATTGGCTAACAAAACACCTTAAATCATATTAAGACTGTTGCATTGGGGGCTAAAAATACTAGCTAAAAATCTAAAGCAGTAGTGTAGTTTTAAAATGACATGACATGTAAGGAAAACTGAGATCCTTCCCATATTAGGCTCCTCTAGCCCTGCTAAGGCCCTGCTCTTCTAGAACCAGCTGAGAACATTAAAACTTTGATTCCACAGTACGTAATGTAAATTTGGGGGAAATACGTTTAGGATTGCAGCATTCAGTCAACAAAGCTTCCCCTTTATGTTGCAATATCACACATCAACTGTCAAAATAGGGTAAAATTTGCAAAACAATGTGTGGCTGAGCACGATGAAAGTGCCTTCTGAATGGGCTAACTGCATTAGGGCTGAGGTCTTGTCTTCCCTGAATTTGCCACCTCATTTGTCCATTTTTTGGAGGATAGCAGGGAAAGTCTTGGAGCCCTTTCACTGCCTTCACAGGCTAGAGCAGCAGTGGTTCCATCTCTCATTCTCTCCCCACCCCCTTAACAATTTGTTGCTGCTGTTTGCAGCAGCTGCTTGTCAGGGGGTCATTCGGAGGAGGCTTTTACAGGGAAAATGGAGACTGCAATGGGGGGGGGCTCCTCCCCCTGAATGCTTCACAGAAGGATGCTATTTCATGATGTAGTTCTCTGATTTCAGGAGCATTCAGCTGGCCATTGAGTGGGGCAAAGAGATCTGTTGCCCCTACAACCAGGAGCTTAAGTAAGTTTAAAAAGAGGAACTATTGCTGCTGTCAGGTGCAAAAGTAAGGAATCGTAAGGAATGCAATGAAATATTTCAACCCCAAATTCAAAGTACCCTCTTTTTCCTCCCCTCTCCCCACTTCAAATTTTGAGCTGAAAGTTCTGCTTGGAGAGCTTTTGGTTCAGCTTCACTTAGTGCCATTTTGCCAAGGTAAATGGAGAATCTTACTATACATCATATACAGGAATATGCCAAAATGCCTTTTCCCCTATCTAACCAAAGGCTGAGCTTCCTTTTTTTTTAAAAAAAAATATTTTTTATTAATTTTCCAACACATAATAAAGACAATACAATACACAGTACACAAACAAACAAACAAACAAACAAACAAACAAACAAACACATAAACACGTATAATTTCAAAACCTTCTTTTCATAAATCTTACTTCTCCGACTTCCCCATACCTCCCCTTTCTGCATCCCTATTTCAAACTTTCTTCAGCAAGTCCTCACTTAGTTTAACCAATTACTCAATTTTTCCTTCCTTCTCTCTTACATAGTCATTTACAGCTGTAATCCTCATTTTCCTGTACCCTTGACATTTTAGCACTCATTAATTTTACAACAGTTCTTAAGATACACTTTAAAATTCTTCCAATCATTCTCCACCGTCTCTTTTCCCTGGTCGCGGATTCTGCCTGTCATCTCGGCCAGTCCCATGTAGTCAATCACCTTCGTCTGCCATTCTTCCAACGTGGGTAGTTCTTGTGTCTTCCAATACTTTGCTATAAGAACCCTTGCTGCTGTAGTAGCATACATAAAAAACGTCCTATCTCTTTTTGACACCAATTGGCCGACCATGCCCAGGAGAAAGGCCTCTGGTTTCTTGTGAAAGGTACATTTAAGTACCTTCTTTATTTCATTATAAATCATTTCCCAGAAGGCCTTAATCTTCGGGCACCTCCACCAAAGGTGATAGAAAGTACCTTCAGTTTCATTACATTTCCAGCATTTATTATTGGGCAAATGATAAATTTTTGCAAGCTTGACTGGGGTCATGTACCACCTGTAAATCATTTTCATAATATTCTCTCTTAAGGCATTACATGCCGTGAACTTTATACCGGTGGTCCATAACTGTTCCCAGTCAGCAAACATAATGTTGTGACCAATGTCTTGTGCCCACTTAATCATAGCTGATTTAACTGTTTCATCTTGTGTATTCCATTCCAGCAACAAGTTGTACATTCTTGACAAATTCTTAGTATTGGGTTCTAACAGTTCTGTTTCTAATTTTGATCTCTCCACCTGGAAGCCAATTTTCCTGTCTTGTTTATAAACCTCCATTATTTGAAAATAATGGAGCCAATCTCGTACTTTAGACTTCAATTTCTCATAGCTCTGGCTTCTCCTCAGATCGTATAAATCTTTCACCTTTTACAAAGGCTGAGCTTCCTTCTCACATGTGTATCAGTGACCTTCATTAGGTTTTCTCTTCCTTTGTTTCATTCCTACCACCTACTAGCTTGAAATATGGACGCACACACACACACACACACACACACACACACTTTTCAATGATTACATAAGGATTACATATTATAAGTTCCAATTGCAATAACTGCAGTCTCCACAGTGTCGATTATTAGGGTGGGTGATACTGATTCACCATTCTTCTAAATTATGCAGTCTCCCACTCAAAATGAGCCACATATGATCATTAGATCAAGAGGTTTGTGCAGACACATTTTTAAAAGCTAAAACACTTCTTTCTTTAATTTTGTTCCAATCATTGGAAAGTACAGCGGAAAGCTCTCTTGTAGGAGTCTTATAGCAAGATGGCTTCAAGATGAGTTCACAAAGTTAATGCAGCAAACATAATTATCAGAGTGTCACTTCAATCACATTGTCTTTTTCAGTATAAAGTTGAGCACAATGGAAAGAGGAACACAAACCGAGGCTTCAAGGAAAGACAATCACGTCAATTAGACTGCAGCTGTCATAAAAATATCTGATTTTAACTTTAAGCCTAAAATTCAAAGCATTAAAAAGACAAATGCACACAGAAGATAAAATGTGCACCATTTCATTTGCTGTTAGCTGCTGGGTTAATTTATTTTAAGATAACATGAAGTTGTATATTTAGTCACTGCGCTGGTTTGCACAACACACTGTGGCTCGTGGTTAGAGGAGACAGCTTCACTCCGAGCCTCAGTTTGGATTTCACACTATGAGTAAAACACCAGGAAGCAGCAAAACAGCTACAAGTTCCTTTTTGGGAGCTCCCAGGTTCATGTGGTCTTGCTAAGCCAAAGTTTGGTTAGCATGTCATGCAAACCACGTCACTGCAACAGATTTATAAATATCAATATCTGAAATCTGCACATTCATATAGTCAAAGATTGGTTCATACATCATCTGAGGCCCTACTTTCTGTGCCTCCTCCATGAGAGGCAACACGAGAACCTGCCTTTTCTGTGGTGGCTCCCTGTTTGTGGAATGCTCTCCCCAGGGAGGCTTGCCTGGTGCCTTCCTTACATGCCTTTAGGCAAGATGAAAACATTCCTCTTCAACCAGGCCTGTCGCTGATTAACATTCTATGTCCTTTCAAATGTGTTTGTGGGAGGGGGGAATTACGGGTTTGCTTTTTGTTCTTGTTTTTATTATGCATTTTGTGTTTTTATTTTGTATTTTTATGCTGTGAACTGCCCTGAGATCTTCAGATGAAGGAGGTTATACAAAATAATAATAATTATAATAATCATTAAATGATAATAATAGATGATGATAATAATATATAATAATAATTCCTTTGGGGTGGCTTTTTAAAACTCATAAGTTCTTTATTGATCTGCATAATACTAAGCTCACAGGTGACAGTGAAAACAACCACCATTATTGATGTATCAAAAAAGAAAAGAGCAGCTTGTCCCATATATCATAGATGTTGCTATGAACAGCTTCCTAATCACTGCATAAGACCCCTGCCAGGTAAGGGGACCCCTGACCATTAGGTCCAGTTGTGGCCGACTCTGGGGTTGCGGCGCTCATCTCGCTTTATTGGCCGAGGGAGCCGGCGTACAGCATGACTGAGCTGCTTCTGGCGAACCAGAGCAGCGCATGGAAACACCGTTTACCTTCCCGCCGGAGAGGTTCCTATTTAACTACTTGCACTTTGATGTGCTTTTGAACTGCCAGGTTGGCAGGAGCAGGGACTGAGCAACGGGAGCTCACCCCATCATGGGGATTTGAACCGCCGACCTTCTGATTGGCAAGCCCAAGGCTCTGTGGTTTAACCCACAGCGCCACCTGCGTCCCGGCCCCACGTATAGGTAAAGGGACCCCTGACCGTTAGGTCCAGTCGTAGACGACTCTGGGGTTGTGGCACTCATGTTGCTTTATTGGCTGAGGGAGCCGGCGTACAGCTTCCGGGTCATGTGGCCAGCAGGACTAAGCCGCTTCTGGCGAACCAGAGCAGCGCACGGAAACGCCGTTTACTTTCCCGCCGGAGCGGTACCTATTTATCTACTTGCACTTTGAGGTGCTTTCGAACTGCTAGGTTGGCAGGAGCAGGGACCGAGCCACGGGAGCTCACCCTGTCTCAGGGATTCAAACCGCGACCTTCTGATCGGCAAGTCCTAGGCTCTGTGGTTTAACCCACAGCGCCACCCGCGTCAGGCCAAAAGCCCATGTTCTCCATATTCTTGTTCCCAGATTGGCCAACCAGATGCCCCTACAGCAGGCATGTCCAAAGTCCATTTCAGGGGCCTAATCCAGCCTGCTGGTCGATTTAATCTGGTGGGAGTATATGTCCTGGGGCAAAATCCTAAACAACTTTGGGGTAAAATTGTAAAAAAAACAACTTGGGTCAGCCCTCAAGCATGTTCACTTCATCAAATCTGGCCCTCTTTGAAAAAGGTTTGGGCACCCCTGCCCTACAGGAAGCAAGACCTGAGTGCAACAGCACTCTCCCCATTTATAATTTCCAGTAATTAAGTGGCATATAAGTAAGTAAGTAAGTAAGTAAGTAAGTAAATAAATAAATAAATAAATATTGTCTTTAACTGTAGAAGTAGAACATTGCCACCATGATTATCAGTGCTTGATAGCCTTATCGCTGTCTAAATCACTTTTAAAGCTATATAACTATGTATTTTCCTAAGCGATAGCTAGTCGAGCAAGAAAAATAGCAAAGTTTTCACTCTGATATATCTCTGCTCAGATTGCTTCAATGTGAGTGCAAAACACATTAGGAAGTTATGACTGACAGAGTCGTAATGGGAGAAAAGCTGTGCACCAAAATAGACTACCATTTGGAACAAAAGAGAGAAAATGGTGTATTTGCTTTTAAAAACTATGAAAGTTCTAAACTGTAGCTGGCATTAAATGATAAAATAACTTTCAGTAAGGGATTGAACTGCACTGTCAAATGTATTTCTGCAGGTCCTATTAGAAAAGTGTAAGCTAACATTAACATGCATACTTTTGCCCCTCAGGCCTAAGATTGTTAATGGTCCAGTTCCTAACCATATAAGCTTCAACTACCTAAATGCATAAGAACATACAGTGGTGCCTCGCAAGACGAAAATAATCCGTTCTGCGAGTCTCTTCGTCTAGCGGTTTTTTCGTCTTGCGAAGCAACCCTATTAGCGGATTAGCGCTATTAGCGGTTTAGCGGCTTAGCGGCTAAAAGGCTATTAGCGGCTTAGCGGCTTAGAAAAAGGGGGGGGGAGTGAAAAAAATCGCAAGACTCGCAAGACGTTTTCGTCTTGCGAAGCAAGCACATAGGGAAATTCGTCTTGCGAAGCAACTCAAAAACGGAAAACCCTTTCGTCTAGCGGGTTTTTTGTCTTGCGAGGCATTCGTCTTGCGGGGCACCACTGTAACTTCCTCAAGGGACCATTTTACACCAAGCCCAGGCAGACTCCAGGCATTGCTTCTTTTACCAGAACTACAACCAGAGCTAGGTGCAAAATAATCACTTGGAAGATACGAAGCTGTCTTATAGCAAGTCAGATCATTGGGCTCATCAGGCTTGGTAATCTCAACAATGACTGGCAGTGGTTCCCCAGAGTTTCAGCCAGGGGGTATATGGGGGTAAAGCTAGATGCAAATTGGTGGTTTGGGGGGGGGGCAGAGCCATACTGCTCTCCATGAGTAACTTGTAGATATATATCTACACCTGAGGTCAAAGACTCTCTAACATCCTAATTTAGAAGATATATATAGCCATTTAGTTGCTTTTAACATGTGTTAAGCTTCCCTAAAGCATTGCGCTTATGCTGAAATGGAGGAGTATGAATCCTCCTAAACAAGCATGTTGTTGATTGCTAAATGAAATTTCCGTTGCTAAACTGAGAGTCCAAAACCTTTGTCAATCTGGGGCAAATCATCTAGAGATCATCTAGAGATCCACCAGTAGATCTACCCTCTTTCTTCTTCCTCTCCTCTCCCCTCCTGTCCCCAAAATCTCAAAATTATCCAACAACACACCATACTTCATATTGTCATTATAAACATTGAATTCTCATCTGTTTCACCACTCCTACCCTGATGGACATTCACAGGCTACAACAGGAAATATACAGCCCCTAATACACAGACTTCAGCATGAGTGGATGATAGTTCACTTAAATGCATTTGAAAAAAATCGTTACCTGGTCCAATACAAAATGATGCAATTATTGCCAGAATGCAGACTATGCTGAGGTATCGAAGCCAGACTGCTTGATCCTGGAAAAATACATTGGAGAGGTATTACTAATGTGCAAAGTACATAGAAGTACTGATTATAGTAAGTGCAAACAATCATACAGGCTTTCTGTAGTCATGCACACAAAAATGAAAGATCTATAGAAAAAGATTACTAAACATATAGTAATAATATACTGGTATCTTTTAAACAGATTTTATATATGTGTCTTGTGTTCATTTGTATTTTTATTGTCGATTTCTCTATGTTTTTAGCGGTTCCTGTTTTTATTTGAGTCCTGTTCGGGGGGAAAGATGGGTATAAATATATAATATTTATAATATATAATAATAAAAACGATGAACTCCTTGGTTTGCAAAGTAACACAGACCCTAAAGTGTGGCGATAGGAGGTTTATTGTTTCTGTGCCAGCGAATAACTACTCAAAACGGCATTCACAAACTAATACGTTCCTATTATGTCAGAAAGGCATGCACTGCTACAGATAAACCCAGTATATATCATTGGGTTTAAGAACTCTTTCCACTTGACCGCTTACTTCAGTAACAAAAAGCAGAAAAAATGGAAAGACTGCATGGATCGTTCTAAGTCTCAAAGTAGAGATTCTGGCATCTCAAGTGGTGGGAATGAGTCCCCCAATCTCTGCTATGCTGCAGCACCACCCATACAGTGGCCAAAGCTGGAAGTATGGCTCTTCAGTCCAGCCATGACCTGAGGAACCAAGAGCAGTCTGCTTGGGTCTAACTCCAGGTTGGGTTCTTCAGCAACTCAATGGACTGAGAACCATATGGATGACCTTGCCTCGCCTCCCTCCCCAATCTAGTGCTGATCGCCAGCCTGTCTTTGACTATAGTTTTTGCCGGTAAAGGTAAAGGTAAAGGGACCCCTGACCATTAGGTCCAGTTGTGGCCAATTCTGGGGTTGTGGCGCTCATCTCGCTTTATTGAACAAGGGGGCTGGCGTTTGTCCGCAGACAGCTTCCGGGTCATGTGGCCAGCATAACTAAGCCGCTTCTGGCAAACCAGAGCCGCGCACGGAAACGCCGTTTACCTTCCTGCCAGAGTGGTACCTAGTTATTTACTTGCACTTTGATGTCCTTTCGAACTGCTAGGTTGGCAGGAGCAGGGACTGAGCAACGGGAGCTCACCCCGTCATGGGGATTCGAACCGCCAACCTTCTGATCTGCAAGTCCTAGGCTCTGTGGTTTAACCCACAGCGCCACCCGAGTTTTTGCCTGTGGCACCTGCCTAATTTGATACATGACCCCATGTCTGCCATTCTCCCTGTCTTCTGCCTCTGACCCCCTTAATCTTCTTCTGTCTGTGCTGAAATCCAACCCTGTCCAAGAAAGACATTTCAGCTTGGCCTATCTGCTTCTATTTTTAATATATCTGTATCTAAATGAAACAGAATGGCAATTGATCTGTACTGAATAGTGAGTCTGATGACGAAGGTGTTAAGCAACACGTGGGGAAGAGCTGTAACTCAGCCATAAAACACATAATGTGCATTTACAAGATCCCATCTTCAACCCTCAGCATCTCTACCTCAAAAGGGTGGCCTGAAAGTGCCTCTGGGAGGCTTATCTGGGTGGACTCAGTATAAGGCAACTTACTACATCCAAGCTCTGGCTGAAAATGTAGATATGTTCATGTTTGCTCACTACTTGAAGCAGCTCTTTCCTGGGAAATATGTGTTAACCTTTGTGTGAGGAATGGAGATCATGACTTTGCCTGGAGAAATACAATGTACTGAAAGTTCACCCAAAGCCTGCTGTTTTAACCTGTCAGAATTATAGCTTTCATCAGTTTGAGAGATGCCCTCTGGAGCAAAAGAAGCTGTACAATAATCGATGAAACAGGAGAGAAACAAATCAGGGATTAAAATGACTTCTACTTAGTTCTGTGACCTCCTTTAAAACCTTTTGACCATTTAAAAAATAGCCACTTGGAAAGTAAACGTTAATAATGTCAGGCTCCTGACATTTAGAGTAAATAACACATCTTCACATTTTTGAATCAAAATATTTAAAACAAAATTGCCAAAAAGCAACAGGATATCTAGGAGTGATATAATGTTTCAGATACACATATTTAAAACACAGAATTAGGGCTGCTTGTGTTGGGAATCATGCATTACCAACATCAACCTCACAATTCAAAGTGAATTGGAGTTCTGCGATCTCTTCAATCAGGGTTAGCAGCAATGCTCACACACAATGCAAGCCAGAATAAAGGAGGATAGAGAGAATACATTTGATCTCAGATAGTTTTTACTAATCCTAGTTCAAACAAACCAGAGTTTGGAGAACCAAGGTTAGTTTAAAATGGTATTATATAACTCTAGTTTCCTTTTATACAAATGATTAAGAGACCTTGTGGGAAAGGTTATAGCCCCTCGTTTTTCTCTTACACAAATGGGTAGTGAATGAAATACTTTATTGTTAAATCACTTAATCCCTAAACTGTCTCATCTTGAAACCTGCAAGAACAATTTCAGTTGTGAAGCTTTTGGTTTTCTCTTGGCTAAACATAATTTTAAAAGGACAAAAATAACTGACAGTGTAATAGATTCACAGTTAACCCACACATGACTTCAATGTCAAAGTTGCACATTAAAGATCACATACTGTGTACAAGAAAGAGCAATGAGAATTGCCTGATATTTAAGCTGAGCAGGGCAGGTTTACATACCTGTAAAGTCATACACACAGTGAGTATTACAAAGAAGAGGACCATTAAGCTAAACCCCCCAATCAGAAGAGGTCTGCGTCCGAGTCGTTCTATCACTAGGCCCTGAGGAAGAAAAATGAACAGTGTCTTATTTTCTAACAAAACCAGAGGAATCCTGGATTTACGTGGTCAACTCTTGTAACTCCTCACGGATCAATCTAAGGGCAATGGGGATCCATGTCTCTCAGGGAATCCTAAAGACGCTAGGATTAGTCACTTGGATCACAATGCTATACAGTGGTACCTCGGGTTACATATGCTTCAGGTTGCATACGCTTCAGGTTACAGACTCCGCTAACCCAGAAATATTACCTCAGGTTAAGAACTTTGCTTCAGGAGGAGAACAGAAATCGTGCAGCGGTGGCGCAGTGGCAGCGGGAAGCCCCATTACCTAAAGTGGCGCTTCAGGTTAAGAACAGTTTCAGGCTAAGAACGGACCTCCGGAACGAATTAAGTACGTAACCAGAGGTACCACTGTACTTTTTACAACACAAACAAAAACTCTCCAAACTTGAACATAGATAACTTTTTTCATATTCCAAGTGTTTTAACTTTCTATATATAAAATGCATGATTAGACCTGGTCTGCTGCATAAGCTGCACTGAAGTGGAATAACGGTTTGTGCCCATCATTTGCAACCAAATTAATATACCATTAAGTCACACTAACAACAGTATTAATATTCTAAATGGTGCTCACCACTGTTTGTCAGAGTGAATTTTCAGAGGCTCTACACACATGGAGCAATGAGGACCCACTTTGTATTACTTTAGCCATTAGGCACACAGTGTTTTTGTTTTATCTGTGTATAAACGATTTCAAAAATTCTGCATGTTTTATATTAGAAATATTTAATTTAACCATGCATTTAGAGAAGTGTCATGAAAGCATAAGAGAGTATTAGGGAGAGTGTCAGCAATTACGGGCATCCGAGCCTCTGCCAGGGGGTCAATTCACACATGTTTGCACATCACATACACAGAAAACCACATTAAATTTTTGGCTCCATGGTAAGTTGGTTGCAACTCCACTTTTAGTGGCCCCTGCAGCACACCCCTCCTATTAAGCATGTGTTCAAGCATTAATTAATTAAAAGTTGAATTAAACGGTGCAGCTTTTTCATTCCTTCTTGCTCCGATGCTCATGACCTCACATTCCATTTTTAGCTTTGCTGCTATGGGAACTTGCCTTCTGTCGGAACTGTATATAATATCAGAGACAACAAAGCAGCAGAATTTTCTGCATGGAAAGGACTAAAAAATGTCAACACAAACAATGGCATCGACTTCAGTGTTTGCTTTGCCTAGCTTTGCTCAGCTGCACTGATCTTACAATTTATTGACAGCAATGGATATGAATTATATTTATCAAGGCTGTTCCTAAGCAGGTCTAGTCAAATGAAGTGAAAAAGCAAGCAAGCTTAGGACTTGGGTAATCACTGAGCAGCCCATTTGAATAAATTCATCAAGGTGATATACGAACATAGAATATGTCGTTCTTGGATCTCTCCCCCCCACTTGGAGGCTGCAATCCTATGCACCCCGACAGATGAATGAGGCTCACATTTCATTTAGTTGCATAATTGTAGTTGCATAATTCTCCCCCCCTAAAATGAATGAATTAAAAGTACCCAAGGTAAGCAAAGAGAGGTGGACCAGGATGGGGGCTGCTTCGCCTTTTGCCTGCCAGCCGCTTGTCTGCTCAAAATTGCTCCCTTGATCTGTTCCCCATTGAGGGAACAGACAGAAGTCCCCTCAACATCTTTCATCCTCAGGAAGAAAGCCAGCTGTGTGGCAATTTTGATTGTGACATATTTGTATATTACATGTACACTTTTATTTTTATTTTTTTTTAAATAATTTTAATTGCGTTTTCCACTTAAATCATATTCACATTTTGTTGCATAATTCTATGACTTAATATATTACTCTGTAAGAGCAACGACCTCCTTCCCTCCCTCTTTCTGACTTCCACATACCTTTCTATATTCTTTGCATTTCTATAATTACTTATTTACCCTTTGTCAAATTATATTTCTTCACCTTATTATCGGTAAATCAGTTCCTTATGTTTACATTACAAAACATTTCAATTCAGGCCTACAAACGTTTTCAAATGCCTACAATTTTCTTTCATATAAAGTATAAATTTGTTCCAGTAAATGTTCACTTTTAAATATATGACATGATCCAGCCAAATTCCATCACTCGTGTAGCACAGTCTTAGGCAGGCTTTCTTACAAGCAAGTCCCACCGTTTTCAGGATTGGAACTGTGAATGTCACTGATTTCAGTGCGGGAAAGTTATTCATATGCTTTTTAAATAAGTAAATGGGTCTGGACTGTGCATATATGGTCCCTACATTTTAGAAGTAACTAGTTCTCAATGGTCGTGGGTCATTTTCTAACATGAGGCCTTTTGTACCACAGAAAACAATCTCTCTCTCCCTCTCTCTCTCTCTCTCTCTCTCTCCCTCTCCCTCTCCCTCCCTCCCTCCCTCCTCCCCCCTCTTTCTCCTTTTGTGGTAACATAGGCTAAAATAAACATTGGCCTAAATTCAATACCAAGGAAAAGAACTAAGTGCAAAGACCAAGAACTAAACTTGCAATTCAAACTATAACATATTTATTCACTGTTTACCACCCCCCTACTCTTCTTCCCTGTACTGGATTTTAGATAGTAAGGTTCACAGCACTGATGAAATGACCCCCAGGACTCATTCCAACTCTGCAGTTTTGTGATTCTATGAGATACACACATTAATGGTGCTATTTAAATAAATGAAAAACTAATACAGCAATAAACTAGATTAATCTAATTTATTGAGAACTCATAATGACTGCAGACTTGAAATTTCCTGCATCCCAATCTCTTAAAATATTGAGTAAAGTTGAATAAAGTTTATAAAACATAGCCCATCTGTCTGCTTTTTACCTGAAAATGCCACATCAAATCGAAAGAGGAGGGTTCTAAAAGGATTCTACAGGGTGCAGAAGACACAGTACTTACGGAGAAAATGGCAGCCAAAATCTCAATCCCTCCTGTGCTTAAAGTAACATATGGGATTATTTCTGAACTCAGTCCAGCTTCCTTGAAAATGTCATTTGTGTAGTACCAAATCTGTAACAAGAAACCATTTTTTCAGTTATTTGATTTCAAAACGGTTTTTAGAAACTAATTAAAATGTAAGACTACATACATTTAATGCCTCAGTAATGATGGACTGGCCAAAGGATGCAAATTACTGTGTTGAACATCTTGCCCAGTGACATCCAACCGGACGTTGACAGCACAACCCTATGCTCCAATTGTAATGGAGCACTTTAATAAACCAAATTAGAAACACGCGACTGATTATGATATGTCGAGATTTTGTTGAACATTGTGGTGTTATATAAATACAATGAGCAGGGTATACCATTGCAACAATGGAAAACATTATGGCAGCCTTCCACCCCACAAAAAAGAAAAGTGCTTTTCTGAGGAAAGAAACCTGAATTTCACACAATGTAGGAGCGGCAACAGTTGCTCTCTAAAGTGATCGTCTGGAAAGTCCCTTGACTGTAAATTTAAAGAAGAAGAAATAGTATGCTGATATATTATTTTTCAGTTTACCCTAGTTGGGAGCTCAGGAAATAAGCAAATGGCTAAATCTGGAAAAAAATATATGCAAACAACAGGAAAGTGTTATTGTTTGTGCTGCTTAACATTCTCAAAGCTCCTCCCTAACCCTAAACCTATGATTTATCACCCTCTTCCAACCTAGCCCACAAATTTTCAAAAAACTAACCTCTCCCAACTACCTAACCATTTAAGTTCAGTTCTTTTTGCAACTCTCCACCCTCAAAGGGATGCTCCCTCACAGCTTTTTCAAGAGTGCAGAACCCCACATGGAACACACCAGTTCTACTGAGTCTTTAAACCTGAGTAATTATTAGAGGGAATCAATACCACTTCATTTCTAGATCCCTCCCCCCCCCCAAGAAGAAATCTTGCCATAATCCCAGATGTTCCCATTCTATTTCCAGTACTTCAAGTGCAGGACTGGGGGGGGGGACCCTGCCTTGGTTATTTCACTGCACATGGCACTTTTCTGTTTCTTGTAAGTATAATTATAAGAAGAGCTGTAAACTGAATAGATGACAAGATAATTCCATATCTTTTCTCAGTAAAGTATCCACAACAGGGAACAGAACAAGCCTGTCATTAGTACTGAAATCCTGCAGTTAGTAGAAAGCTATACTTTTTGTGGGATGTCTTTTGTAGGTTTATTGAAGGTATGATGAAGTGCGATTTTCATCTTATTCACAGCAGACAGCGAAGAATTTCTCAGTAACATCTAATTAACTCTTAGAAAGATACTGCAAAAAATCGTTACAAATTGCTTTGGAAGGTGCAAAAGGTTTTCCTTTTAAAAAAGATATTACACCCATCATCTGACACAGAGTAATTTTCAAGTTATCCCTTAATGAGATGTGGTCATGCCATCATCCCAGGCAGCTTATTTAGAGAGCAACAGAATTCATTTGGGGTGTTTGATTTCCTCCACAGATGTCAGTCTCTGTGAAAGAATGTTTTCCATGCATTTCAAAGTGAAGCGTGATGCAATATATTGGGGCTGCCTTGGCTTGGTAGTTATGATGAAAAGAAGGCATCTACTGCATCTAAGAACATAAGAAGAACCTCCTGGATCAGGCCATTAGACCATCTGCTCCAGCATCCTGTTAAAGGAGGGAGACTGGCCAGCCAACAGCTATTCTGGAATTGCTGGCAGAATAAGACTGAAATCAGCTTGTTAACTCAGTGATCTGACTTGGACTTGAATTTGCCCTTCAGGAAATTTAATGGGTCAGAGAGTAAGGCATAACCAGTGAAAAAGAACAAAGATTAAATATTGTAACAGGAAAAATGAGTTAATGCATCTCTCTCACACTCAGTCACATACAAACACAACACAACACAACACAACACAACACACACAACACAACACAACACAACAACACAACACACAACAACACAACACACCCCTACTTACCTACAAACATTATTACTGAGCTGAAGACAATGGCATTGGTTCAGTAACTATGAGATCTATCCCCCCAATACTAGGAAACTTAGGAATGTGTTTTGAAGAATTGATGCATCACATTTTGCCTTATGTTGCTGCATCTTTCTTCAAAGTTCATAGCATGAAGATAAGGGGCTACATGGCATCGCACTTGTGCAACAGATATCTGCTTTGGCAAATGGGACTTATCCTTCCACCCCTCCCCCTGCAGCCTCAAAGATCTGCTAGAAGGATAAGAGGAATTATCCAGAGGATTGGGAGTTGCAGGAGAAAAGAGTGAGTAAAACTCCCATCACGCCCACAGGTGTAAAGTTGCCCAGTGCTACTTGCTGAATTAAACATTGTGTATCAATAAAAACGCTGATTATTTTCGGTAACAGTGCTAAGTAGCAATGCTTCACTAACAAAACTAATACATGCAAGGGTGTTTATCACCGGTTTTGCTCTACCCCCTGATCCACTGGGGGGCTGGCAGGGGAATGAGGCCCTCCCAGGCTGAGCCCAGGCTTTCAGGGGAAGGGGGCTTTGGTCTGAAAGAGGCATTGCAGGGGCTTGGATTGGATGACCCTTGGGGTCCCTTCCAACTCTACAGTTCTATGATAGGACAAACCCTTCGTTGTGCCTTTCTAAAAGCCCTTCCATTCAGAGATTTGAGTCCGTCACTGAAACATTCTAGAAAGATCTTGAAACACTGGCGCAAAACATAGAAATGTATCTTTTACACATTATTTGCCGTCATCTCACTTACAGCATTAAGACCACAGAGTTGGTAGCAGGCCATGGTTACAATTACGGTGAGGATCTGCCATCGCTTACTGCTGTCACACAAAAGCTGAAAGATAGATGCTATCTGCATGTTTCTCTGCACGCGACTCTCTTCCAAAACGTCTTCTACTTCAGATGACACATCAGATTTGCCAAGAAAGATCTGAAATGCTGTAAACCCACAAGTCATACATTTGTTTAGAATGCAAATTGTGGTTGCGTTCAGACCAAGCAGACACAATGGATCAAAGAGTTACCGTAATTTGCATCAAACATTTCCTTTTTATCTGGCTAAAAAAATGGTTGTATAGATCTGCCTCCATGTAAATTATACCCAGCACTTCATATGAATTTGGTTCATCTCCTAGACTTTGTGTACGCTTGAGGTCCATGGGAACACAGATGTAGTCCTGAATATGGTATTGATTCAGCTTCTGGATACAAATAAGTTAAAAAACAACACACACCTACAAATACATGCTAGGATTATTACCCTGTAGATTTGGAGAATGCAAACCTGTAGGCATAGCCATTGCCTATTTAGGTACTAATGTCACAATAAAGGTAAAGGTAAAGGGACCCCTGACCATTAGGTTCAGTCGTGACCGACTCTGGGGTTGCGGTGCTCATCTCGCTCTATAGGCCGAGGGAGCCAGCCTTTGTCTGCAGACAGCTTCCGGGTCATGTAGCCAGCATGACTAAGCCGCTTCTGGCAAACCAGAGCAGCGCACAGAAACGGCATTTACCTTCCCGCCGGAACGGTACCTATTTATCTACTTGCAATTTGACGTGGTTTCGAACTGCTAGGTTGGCAAGAGCAGGGACCGAGCAATGGGAGCTCACCCCGTTGCGGGGATTTGAACTGCTGACCTTCTGATCTGCAAGTCCTAGGCTCTGTGGTTTAACCCACAGCGCCACCTGCGTCCCTGCAATGTCACAATAGAAAACAGTATTTTAAAACATAAAGCAATCCTCCAGTTAAACTCCATCATAAAAATTGAACCAAACCAGCAGAGCTAACAGTAAGTTGAAGAAGGCCTTTTTGAGCAGTCCTGTCAACTGGTCACCTGAAAACATCCTAGGGATGAGGCCTGGCGCACCCACTTAGCAAGGCATTCCATATGGCGGGGCCACCACCAAGAAAACCCTAGTTGTGGGAGGCAGATACTTTGCATGAAACAGAGTCACATGGTGGAAAAGCAGATTGCGACTGCCTCGAATGTTTTGGTATTATGCAATTTTTGTAGGACTCTTGGAGTTAAAGAAAGGAGACTGCAAAACGAAGGGATATTTGCACTTTCAGGGGAATTCCTGTCTTTCGAGGCAAACAGACAAATGATGAACAACAAAAGCACAGCACCTTTTTCTGCTGCTTTTGTGTTATGTCTTTCAAGCAGCAAAAAGCGAGGACTTTCCGGAAGAAAAGGCAGGACTGCCATTTGGATGAGTGATGGGACAATTATCATCCCAAATAAATAGGGCCACATGGATTCCTGCAAGAAACAAACACAAAACAAAATGTAAAGGTAACGCTGGAAGAAAATATTGATCCAAATGTAATGAAGAAATAAACAGAAACATAGGGAACATTCATAATCCAGCAGCAGACGCTCCTAAATTCAATCCCTGCATCTCTCTTTTTCTCCTTGGCTAGGCATATCTGCTTGATGACCTGGAAAGCCCCTGGCAGTCAGAATGCACCACACAGAGACCAACTGCCTATCTTGGATCAAGGCACTTATTTATAAGGCCAGGCTCTGGTGGTGCTTCCTCAGAGAGGGAATTCCAAAGAAGTGACACCACAACTAAAACAGCTGCTCTGGATGCGACCACTGATGTGACGCCATCAGTAGGGTTGCCACCTTTGGTCGGGCAAAATATGGGATGGGTTGAGGGAGGAATTGAGGAGCTAAAAATCACATTACCCGCCGCAGGCATGACTTCAAAGCAATCCTTTACAAAGCCACTCGGGGTTTACATGGGTTTATTCAATGAATCAAAACAACAAAAGCACTATGATTTACAACTGTAAGAAAAATCCCCCCCCCTCTCCACTGAATGGACAGACCAGGACAGACCGCACACCCCCCGTCTCTGACTCTGATCCACTCCTTCCCGTGTGCCCATGCCAAAACTCTCTTTCCCACTCTCCGACCAATCCACTGCCCCCTGCCCATGCAAAACTTCCACCATAGCAAGCCAGTGCACGGCAACTTCCTGTGACCCTCCCTTTGCCCAGCCATTTTGCTCAATACTGTCTATGTCAGGCATGGCCAAAGTCCGTTTCGGGGGCCTAATCTGGCCTGCCAGTCAGTTTAATCCGGCCCCTGTAGCAGTTTATTTCCTGGGGTAAAAATCCCCCCAAAACCTCAACAACTTTAACCCTAAATCCTAAAAAAAGGTTGGCCCTTTGGTCAGCCCCCACGGCCCTTCACTTCATCAAATCTGGCCCTCTTTGAAAAAAGTTTGGACACCACTGGCAGAGGGTCTCTGGGGCTTCAGACAGGGGTCTCCCCGGCCCCAGCAGCCCACCCCCATCTGCTTTAACGCTTTGCAACACAGCAATAGCCACAGCACCCTTTCCGTTTATATAACCTTCTGTGTCTGAATGCCTGGAGGTTTATCTTAGCGAACAAAGCCTACGTGAAGGGCTATTTATATACCTGCCCGACTGCAGCTTCCACACACTTTCCAAGGGCAGCTGCGCAGAGAGTACATTGCAATATCTGAACCAAGGATGTCAACAGGATTTCCTGGGCTCAGGACATAGATGTGGATTGGGTCCTTCTCCCTTCTCTCGAAAGAGAACACAAATTTGCATAAAACTTTGAGCTGCATGCATTTTGTGTCATGTGCAAATCTGTTTCCTCTCTTGCAGGGGGGGGGGGAGGGCCCCAGAAGAAATACACTACCTCACAAGCAAAATCACATATCACACGAAATCATAGTTAAAAACTGTGGGAATGTTCAGGGATGCAGGAGAGGACATATTGTTTGATTATATCCTTTCCAACTTGGGTTAACAAGTTCCACAATTTAGCAGAGTAACATTCCCCCTTTTAAACTTGCACAGCGGATGCGTTTGCTCAGGCTCGCTAAAGCCTCTAAAATGCATTTTCCTTTCAGTAATTCCCCATTTAGTCCCTCATAAAAAGATAGACACGACACAGTCTTCTATAAAAGTATAAAGAGTTTACTCACTCACATTCTGTTCACAATTGGATTCCAGAAGGCAGACTTAAGTTAGAAAAGTAATATACCTGTAAACTATCCCATAAGGAGATAGCCCCTTTATCCTCTCTTGGCTGCAAGCCAAGAGAGCATCTTAGGCTAAGCAGATGTTGCTTCTTTGATGAATGTGGTCAGAGAGAAAGAGAGATATGGCTGACCAGTCCTGCTCTTTTGTTACCTGGGCAGGTGAGGTCATGCCCACCTCCAGTCACATGCAGAGGAAGTCTGTCCCAGCCTAGGAGAAACAAGAAGTTCCGACTGGCTGGTCCAGACATCCCCTTTTATGTCCACTCTAGGGATGCTGTACTTGACTGCTGTTGTGTTTCACATCCCACAAAAACAAACTATGGTTTCATGTGCAGTGGTGCATGCTGCTCAAACGTTCTGGCTCTACCCCTCTCTGTTCCTGCCATGCTGCCAGAAAGCAAGCCAGTCCATCTTGTAATGTCAAAACCTGGGCTCATGGATTGTTTTAGCCAGATAAACCGCGAGCTACTTCCTGGTGGCATGGGAAGCAACAGGATCTCTGAACTCCAAGAAGGGTTGCTGCTGGTGTAATAGCGCTAACCAACAGAACTTTGTGTCCATGCATCTTCAAACAATCTGGAGACCTCCCAAACAGGGCTTCAACTGTCAGGTCACTCTGATTATCAGTGGCTTTTCAGATTGCATTTTACATCCCCACATTTGAAAAAGATGGGAGTCGGAGAAAATATATAAAAAGGTCACCAACATGGTCAAGGGAAGGAAAGGGGAAATTGTTTGGGATTCGCTTAACGGGGTGTGGGGCAATAAAGCGGATATTAATTCTATAAATTAAGAGCGGAGTAGGGGGAGCAGGGAGAGATTCTTTTTTCTCCCACTTTTACAGTAGTAGAACCAATCAAACTTTGTGGCAAGGAAGGTTCAGGGAAAAATTACCTTCAAACAACTTACTGGGTCAACTGCCACAATGTGCTAATAGAGGCAACTGGACAGTTTTAAAACAGATTAGGCAAATTGATAGAGGGTTGCTCTATCAACGGCCACAATGCTCTCTTAGTAACCGTGTTAGTAAATTCATATATCTGACTTCAAGGACTGGTATATTGCCCACACTTCTCTGTCCAATAAATGTTAATAGAACTTACATATAAATGAGTGAATTCACAGCACTGGTGGAGGACGAGGGGGGCAGGGGGAGCACCCTGCCCCCGGCAGTGCGATCCCGGTGGGGTTCCATCGCAGCTGCCCCCCCGGCCACACTGGGCGCCCTGCCCCCAGAACGTGAGCCAGCCCCGCCCCCACCTGCTCTCCGCCCCCAGTGCTGGAGCATAAAGCTCCGCCCCTGATTCACAGCTGGTTTGAATATTGAAGATGCATTTTTTTTAAACCCAATGATTTTTAAAAATATGATATAGACTTTTCTTTCTAATCAAGTACACAAGGGCCTATTTTCTTGAAAACAAAAAAATCCTGTGAATTTGATAGTATTACCCTAATAAATAAAGTAGCTTATTTGGATAGCTTACTTTGATTTTGCAGCAGTAGTTTTACTTACTATTAAAATGCAGGAGGAACGGTCCTTCTCCCATTCTTTTATTTGTTTTCCCCCTTCTGACAGGTATTCTATATCACTTTTTTAAAATACTCAAATACTTCTACCAGTTTAATACATCTGAGACACAAATTAGAAATATGCTATAATTTCAGCATTCCTTTATTTCTTTATCTAAGCAGTATTACTCATGTGTGACAGATTCAACAATCGGGCAAATTCATGCTATTCCATTTGCATAATTTCATCCTTTGCAAAGGCATAAAGTGGCAGCTGAATGTAAAACACTAAAAACGATGATTCGCCAATGTCTGAAATAAAATACTTTCTCATTTGAAATCAAGACCCACTATTCATTTTCTTAGCAAAATATTCAAAATTGTGTATGTTAAAAAAACCCCAACTTGGTAAGACTTAGATGACACTGATCAACCTGAACTCATGTGTTGAAATTCGTGACTCTAAAGTTCATACTTAATAGTATCCCAATTATGCACTACTAAAAGGAAAGGAAAGGTCAAGGTTCAAGGTCTGCTATGACAGACATATAGCGTACACCAACCTTCCCTACCCTGGTAGTCCACAGCATTCAGAGGCCACAAATCCCATCATCTCTGACCATTGGCCATGCTGATGGCAGCTGTGGTACAATGTGGAGGACAGCAGGTTGGAAAGGCTGATGCAGGACAAGGAATCTACCTGTGCGGACCATATATATGCTGGTTCTCCCCATTCTGTCATATGCATGCACAATACACATAAAAAACAGGGCTGAGGGTGGGTTGACCACATGAATAGGTGTGTCTACAGACAATGGCTGGGGCCACAAGGAGCAGCTTTCTCCCCCATCTCCATGATGTCTCCAGGTTAAACCTCTTTAGTTTCTCCTATATGGTTGTAATATATCCCGGACACTGAGATCCAGATCTGAGGGCCTTCTGGCGGTTCCCTCATTGCAAGAAGTGAGGTTACAGGGAACCAGGCAGAGGGCCTTCTCGGTAGTGGCGCCCGCCCTGTGGAACACCCTCCCATCAGGTGTCAAGGAAATAAGCAGTTATCTTATTTATAAAGACATCTGAAGGCAGCCCTGTTTAGGGAAGTTTTTAATATTTAATGCTGTATTGTTTTTAACACTTAATTGGGAGCTGCCCAGAGTGGCTGGGGAAACTCAGCCAGATGGGCGGGGTATAAATAAATTATTATTATTTACTATTATTCACTTATACAGTGGTACCTCTGGTTGCAGACACGATCCATTCTGGGGTGTCGTTCGCACCCTGAAAAGTCCGTAACCAGAGTGGCTCTTCTGTGCATGTGCGAAGTGTGATAGAGCATTTCTGCGCATGCGGGAACTGCGCAGAACGCTTCTGCACATGTGGCGAAACCCGGAAGTAAACACTTCTGGGTTTGCCACATTCTTAACCCAAAAAAACGCAACATGAAGCATTTGCAAGCAGAGGTATGACTGTACTTGGAGGTGGGAATAAGCGAATGCGCATTGCCAGCGGTTGCCCTCCAAGAGCCCGCAAAATGTTTATTTTAGTGACTTATTTCAAAATGAAGGCGTTTACATAATGATCTCTCACAAAGCATTGCGAGCTTCTGCATCTCTCTCTCTCTGTGTATTCACAACATTTTTTAAAAAAAACCTTTAAAAGCAATACAGTACAGACCTTTCCTTAAATTGTCTGGCTACGTGTCAAAAGAGCCGTTCTTTCCTCATTCTTCACAGGCTAAAGAGCCATGTCATCTCAGGCTCTCTTTCAGGTCCACTGACCTTCCTTCAGTAAACATTGCTCTACAGCTTTCCCCTCTGGCTTAGAAATGGAGAAAAACTGCTGATACTTCCCTCCGTGCTGCTGGCTTATGTGCAATGTGGGTGGGTGAGGGGGGGGGGAGAGAGAAGCGGATGCTGAGGCATGGATTAGCAGCAACTGGGAGGTCAGCCCTCTGCCCAACTCAGGCTCAGGATCAATGTTGCAGGCTACACTGATGGACCAGTGGCATTGGGTCTCCCTTGTGGCTCCCACAGCCTATGCAAACCTGAGAAGAATGGGATGGAAACATCTTGTTTTCTTTTGATACCTGAAAATCAAGATAGTTAGGACGGCACTAAATTACTAGAAAATTGGGAGCAGGGGAGAAATATTTGTTGAGTTTTTCATTTTTCTGATCATATTTATTAATTGGGTGAATACAGAAGATCATTTGACCTGTTGCATGAAAACGTAAGAGCTCTGAGGTCAAGCCAGAGGCCCATTTAATCCTGTACCCTGTTCCCAGAGTGACCAGCCAGTGGGAAGCCAGGGGGCAGGACCTTTGTGCCCCAGCAACACTCTCCCCAACTGATTCCCAGTGAATGTCGCCTCTGACAATGGCTAGTAGCAACAGATCTTCCACAAATTTGTCCTGTTTGAAAGCCACCCGAATTGGCAGTGGCCAATCGCTACCAGGGCAGGTCTGAACCCTACATGAAATTTTCATTACCTCTTGTCAATATAATGCAAGGAGAAAGAAAGAAAGAAAGAAAGAAAGAAAGAAAGAAAGAAAGAAAGAAAGAAAGTCCAATGATTCTTGGCACCTCATACATTTAGTACAGTGGTACCTTGGGTTAAGTACTTAATTCGTTCCAGAGGTCCGTACTTAACCTGAAACTGTTCTTAACCTGAAGCACCACTTTAGCTAATGGGGCCTCCTGCTGCCACCGTGCCGCCAGATTTCTGTTCTTATCCTGAAGCAAAGTTCTTAACCTGAAGCACTATTTCTGGGTTAACAGAGTGTGTAACCTGAAGCGTATGTAACCTGAAGTGTATGTAACCCGAGGTACCACTGTTCAAGTTTTAAGGTTCTACAGGCTTATCTGTTATTGCTTTTTTGACACAACAGGCTAACATGGTTAATCTTCTGGAGCCATTTAGCTCATTAATTGCTTTTTGCACCCTCATTCTTATGCGTCTGGTAGAGATGCAATGTTGCCAATTACCTAACAGCAATTTACCCCACCCTTCCGGAGTGCAAACTCCCACCAGCACTCTCAACTGAATGGCATTTTGACAGAGACATTAACCTTGGTTAAGGCTAACCAGGGAGTCCTGCTTAACCCAGGCTCTGAACTCAGAAATGGAAGCCATTTCGTGGAGGTTTTCTCCTGCGCCTCCTTCCAAGATGTAGCTTTAATTCTACAAACATGCCCTTAAGCCTTAATAGGCTTCCTGCTCCATTACGCTGCACTATGCTACAAATGACTTTTACTGATGCCCTATTGCTTAACCGATTGCTGTACAGGGTATGTGGGAGTCAAGTTTTCCTCCAACCCTGAGATTCTGCACCTCGTTCTACGACCTTCTTGAGTTATTGGTATAATCATGAAAAATGTCTGCTCTCTGCTTGTGGGTCAAATTCAGGCAGGCTAGACCAGGGGTCAGCAAACCTTTTCAGCAGGGGGCCGGTCTACTGTCCCTCAGACCTTGTGGGGGGCCGGACTACATTTTGGAGGAAAAAATGAACAAACCCCTATGCCCCACAAATAATCCAGAGATGTATTTTAAATAAAAGGACACATTCTACTCATGTAAAATCATGCTGACCATCCGCGGACTGGATTTAGAAGGCAATTGGGCTGGATCCGGCCCCTGGGCCTTAGTTTGCCTACCCATGGGCTAGAGGGTCAAAGTCGCCACACAGTAGACTGGGGGAGCAGGAAGGACTAACCTATAAATTCCATTGAAGAGGCAGCTAATAGTAGGAGCAAGAGTTTGTAGGGCTGGGTGAGATCTGGTTTTCAGCATCATGAAATATCAACAGCTAAACATTGTGATGTACTGATATATCATGATGTCTGAAATAAGGATGGAGCTATGGAGGCACTGGCTGGCTTCACTGGTTTTCCGGCATCGTGATTTTTGAACAGCGCGCACACGCACGCACACACACACACACACACACACAATGATACACAATGTATTGCCAGGTCAAAAATTAGGAACCAGTATCGCAATATGGACTTCAGACTGGCATTGGAGGATATATTGCTGTTTCACCCAGCCCTAGCAGTTAGCTCTCAATGCTGTATTATTCACCATTTATCTCTACTAGTCTGTCTTTCTAGATCTCGCCTGTGTGTTTCCCTTCACTAACACTGTCTCCAGTCATACTGTGTTTTACTTTGTTGGAATCCACCTAGGTGACCAGGGGAACCTATTAAGATGGACGGCATATAAATAATAAATTGTTATTATTATTATTGTTGTTATTATTTTCCCCCTTTCCCAGGGCTGAGTAGCCACCTGTGGCATTCAGTATACATTCTAGCTGAGCTTGTAATATTGTGGTTCTAAACAACTCTCAAGCATTTGGGAGATCCTCGTGAGTCATGACTTTCCCCTGTCAACTTTCTGCTTCTCAGTCCCCTCACATTTGGTATCTAAAAACTGTTTGGGATTTTCTTGGCAATTGCCTACCCTCATGCAACTATGATAGGGCTACAGTCACTGTTTCCAACTGGTTCAACAGCACCTACATCACATACCAGTTCCTGAGCTCCACTTAAGAGTACGTCAAGAGTTACCCACAGTCTTTTAGTGCGACAGCCTTTACAACTCCATGCCCATTGACTTTAGGCAGGTATGTTTGCTGTACTCGCCTCAGCACCTGCTAAAACCGTTTTTGTTTAGGCAACCTACCTAGACATGTGAAGATGACATGTATTTTAATCTCTAATTTTAGTTCATAATGTATATGTTAGCTTTTGATTTTATACATAATTGTATTTTTAAACAAATTTAAACAAACTTATTTCTACCCTTGACCAAAAAAGCAGTGTAGTTTTGAAATTAAAATCAATGAAGTTTTGAAAGAGTTGGAAAATGGCACCCAACTGCATACCAACATAGACAAAAACCTGCCCTTCCATCTCTGGAACCATAATGCAAAATTTGGTTGTGATATCTTAAGTGGGGTCCTCTTAAACACACAGTGAACAAACAGCTTTCCAGAATATATGGGTTTGTATTCAGAATAGACTCGCTCACATTTCTGTTATTCATATCTATTAAACTCAGTGAGGACTCTTAGTAGGACTAGCATTGAATACCACCCATTGCTAATTTTTGCTAACCTGCTTAGAGGCTTTATTTACAATTAAGCAGTATACAAATCATGTTCAATACATAATGTGGTTGACCTCCAAAATCTCCCCACATTCCAGAACGGTTACCCCGCTGCCCCCAGCCAACAAATTACGCCAGCCCGAACATTCTCCTTGGTTGCAAACTGCAACTTCTACACCTTTTGCCTGGCTAAGGAATGAGTTGAAGTAGCTGCAGAGGTTTGCAGGAGAGTCCCCTTGTCCTTCAAGGGCATAGCTTGCTAGCTGTGAAGATGAAGAATCTGAGTGAAGCACGAAAAGGATGCTGTGGCTGCAGAGGGGACCTCAAAGCCCCTGATAAAAGCCTCCTCTTTGGGGGGGCTGTCTTGCCTTGAAGCAAGGAGCTGCATTTAACAGATTGTTTTTGATCCCTTTCAATTTCACATCCCGTTTCAGATGTCTGCCTAGGGCGCCACTTAATCTCAAGCTGCCTCACGCTTTTTACCCATTCCAATTCCATGCATCTGCTATATATGGACACTAAAGATCAATGCCGGAATAAATGAATAAAGAATAACATATTGAGATAAAAAAACCGCTCAACGTATCAGATGCATTTACTCAGAGCAATATCGCCATCATGTGGTCATAACGACTGTTATCCGTTGCAGTCTGAAGTTAGGCTTGCTATATCCAAGACCTGTGGGCTCTTCCACAAGGGAAACTCCTAACCTGATTCAGACCTTTGTTGCACTTCAACTGCTTTGCACACTTATCATTTATAGTTGGCCAGAATAGTTGCTGTTTGCTCCAAAGGTTTTAAGGGTGAATTTGCAGCTGATGGCCTGCACCTTCGGCCACATGCCACTGTTACTGGGGTTTCCCTTTCCATGCTAATGGCCGGTTGCACCCAAACTGAGAAAAGTTCTGCAGCCGCTGTCACACCCCTTATGCGCCCTCGTGTTCCTCTAGTCAGTAAATATTGAACTTATGAGCACATGCATGGGGATAGCTCTTTTGCAGCTTTCTTATTTACTGTTTGCCTTGTATTGCAGAATTCTATCCTTGTGGGAGTTTGGAAATTGGAAGAGGAACTATGTGTCTGTCTGAGCTATGGAGAATCTGGTTATTGGGGGGAAAATTTGTTTGTGGCTAAGGACAGTTGTCATGGACAATACTTTGTCTCCCCCCTGAGCTGAGCGTGCCCCGGGATTCCTGCATTGCAAAGGGGTTGGGACCAGATGACTCTCAGCTGCGCTTCCAACTGTACAATTCTAGGATTCTAACTCAGCTTCATTACAACAGTAAAAGTGCAATTCAGAATATTACAGACCTTCCCAAATATCTCAGGTAGTCCTAAAACTTGTCCACTGAAGACACCGACACAGATGAGGATTGCTGTAATTTGTCCTAACGAACCACGGATCTGTTTGGGTGAAATTTCACTCAAATACATAGGGAGGGCACTCAGAGATACACCTGTGAAAGGGGGCAGAGATAAAAGACAGCTTTTCGGTAAAAGAAGTTTAAAATCTAAAATATTATCAAACATTGTTAAAGCTACTATCTTCATATAGGTAAGTAGAAAGATATTATATTATTATATTATATTATATTATATTATATTTATTATATTATATTATATTATATTATATTATATTATATTATATTATATTATATTATTATATTATATTATATTTTATATTATATTTTATATTATATATTATATTATATTATATTATATTATATTATATTATATTATATTATATTATATTATATTATATTATTATTATTTTTAGCAGTATTTAATATGATTTTTTCACTATTTATTATTCAAATGCAGAAGCATTTACCAGCAAAGTAACCCATGTGTTCCTAAATAACTATATAAGCAAAATAAGAAAACTTCCGATATTTTTAGAAAGTGTAAGAAGCCACCATTCAAATTTAGTCATGGAGGCCCACCTTTGCATACTCTGCTGTAACCAAGCCATAATTTGCAAAACACTTTTTTCTCAGTTCTCCTGGAAGTGCTCATTCATCAGAGCACTTTAGGTCTTTGCAGAATGTTCACAAAAAGATTGCAATGCCCTGGATATAATGTTATGAGGTTCTACTTGAGATCAGGAAATCCCCTTTCCCACGCAAGGGATAAGCAGAGAAATCAGCTAACCTGCTCTGTTTCGAGAAGGATTACAACGTTCTGGTGATTGATATATCCTCTGCCAAGAAAACGCATCCCACAGCCTGGCTCTTGCAGATACATTCTATTTTTAAGCATTGGGGGTCTCTGACCCTTCTTCGATCTCAGCAAGTTCAACTGAAATATCAGGCTCTGGGGTAACAGCGATTGCTCAGAATATACTTGGCATGCAAATGCAACAAATACAAAATCATACCTCCATCAATGCCCATTATGAATCGGCCCAGAATAATCATTTCGAGGACTCCTGCCAGTTGAGAGAATGCCATCAACAAGGCAGCCACAATGGCAAACACATTATTTAGCAGCAGCGTACGCTTCCTAAGAGAAAACAACATTACATGTTTGCAGCATCAGATAAACAGCAGCTTTTCACATACACAGTCAACTACGTTTGTGATTAAAATACTTCAGTTGCAATTGCAAACAAGACAGAAGTCAAAGGTGGCCTGCTTCATGCAATATACCAAAGATGCACTAAACAGGCGTTCTTCACTGAATCAATGGGCAAGGGCATAGCAAGGGTGAAACTACATGCTGCAAGAAACACCAGTCACTTGGCAAAATGGTGGCCTTATGCCAGGTCCTTCCCTCACCCTCTGGAACATCTGATGCACCTAGAACAAGCCTTATGACATCTATCTGTGTATTTCTCCACATCTGCATCTGCTGGCATGGGAGGAGAAAACACATGGCACAAGGATATCTGGATGAGGTAATGGTGGACTCAAGAGATCGTGGGCAAGCTCAACACAGGACAGCCATTTTGGGTGGCAGCCCCATGTTTCTGTAGTGCATCGTTGTGCCTTTAAAGACACAGCTGGTTCTTAAATGCAAGGCAGCTGCACCTACGACCTCCAGGAACTATCCAAACACAGGCACTGAAGCGGCTGAAAAAAACCATGCACTTCAAAGATACCGTTATGTGGCTAACAAAGTACTTAACATGAACTACGGTTTGGCCCTTTGTGGACATACTCCAATGTGCATGTTTATTAACTTAGATGGAAAGGTGCAGCCAGCCATCAGTCACAGACAGATCAATTGGGGGTCGGAAATCCTTGCTAATCTACTTCAAAATCACCTGTAGATTCCAGTATACCTTCTGCCAAAGACTGACTACAAAGATATGAGTACTTCAGTACCAGATTGAGGACGTAGGATGTATGGTTTTAGATCTAGACAGTTTCTTGGAAACAACCCTTCTTCATTTATCATTATGTGCACAATTTGTCACTGTGCTGTCTGACAGGCTCACCACTATGTTGGATATCAAACTGGAAATGCTGTCAAGAAAAGACCTGGATAGAAAATCTCTCACTGCGACTCATCTAGGCGTTTGGAAACCCCGATGTTATGCAGGTGCATCCATCAGAGAAACCGTACTGGCTATTGTTCCCTGTTGATTTAAGTGGCTAATCCAGGTTTGTTGTCGCATCATGTGTGAAATGGCCTCACTCGCTATCTGAACAGGGGATGCAGATCACATGCTTTGCATTCAGAAGGTTCAATCCTGGCATCTCCAGACACAGTGGGACACAGATAAACTTTTTCTAGATCAAAACTAGATCAAGTCTCTCTAATTCAGCTGAAGGCAGCTTCATATATTCGGATGACACATTTTTAAAGGTGATTTTCTGATGTTCCAAATAGGGAAGTGGCCAACTGAGCATTTTCTCACAGACATGCACAATATGACAATGTTCAGTGCAGCATGAAAGATACAGCACAAAACATGCAGCTTTCCACTTTTGCATTATTGGTAACATTTAAATGATAAAAATTAGCTCATTAATAAGACCAAATATCAAAGAAGCAGCATAACCATATAGAAGGGGGGGACCCTTCTATTTCGATTTTTTAAAAACCTCATTCATTTCTTCATATAAGTTATTACTTGGTGTCAATGTAACCATAACTATTTGATCTTGGGAAGTACCTAGATTACATTTTTAAAGGCAAGAGTCTTGCATATAGAAGTAAAAAGAAGTGCAAAGTAGAGAAAAGCATTTGTTTTTCTTGCTTTTGATTCATCATATTACAAAAGAAAAGAAAAGAAAAAGTCACAAGACACATTTATTTGCTTACCGGCCAAAATACTTGACAGCTGGAGTAACAATTAAAGCCCCCACAAGCCCACCAATGGCAAAAATAGAAACAGATATAGTCCAGAGCAGGGTAACCCTTCCTTCTGGAATGGTCTGGTTATATCTTCTTTCCCAAGTTTCATTGTAAAACTTCTTTACAAACTACAAACAACAACATTTAAAGTGATTAGAACCATGATGTCCAGTACAGATTAATATCATTTGAAATCTACCATTTAAAATTTTAAGTCAGGTTTATTTAAACTGATACTTTCATTTTTAAAAATTTCAAGTTATATTTTGTGTCCTTAAAAACAACAACTAAAACCCCAAATTTAATACAAACTAATATATTGGTGCACACAATCAATGAGCACAGGGCATAGATGGAGGGCTCTTTCCACATGACCAAGAATCCTGGAGACACTAATGAACACGGACACTACGTGTGTTCTGATGACTGACATTTTGCCAGCTCTTATTAACTGTATTGAGATTGTGCTTTCTTCTACAACGTTTAATGGAAGCAGTTTCTGAAGGCTGATCCTTGAGCAATAACGTGCCAGAGCTCTTTGTGAAGCTGCCAGTTATCTTGTGTTTAACGTTAACAATATAGTCCAATATTATAGTAAAGCATTTATACTAATGAATGATCCTGGCAACCCACCCAGGGTGGCAAACCAAACAGCCATTTACAGTAGCATGGTGCTATTTGCTATTTGTGGTATTTCATGAAACTCACAAGCTCCATACTGAAAATTAACAAATCACGACTTTTATGAGCTGCTGATGTTAGAAACTTCTGTCCCCTAAGAGCGATGCTGATTGTATCATTCCTACTGCTTAAAGGTTATAGTCTTAAAATTGTTCCAAAATAACACCCGGAATGTGCTGATAGGGGTTATGTAATTACCTGGAACTGCCTGGGGCTGACAGAAGTTATAGTCCAAAAAAGCAGGTTGGCAAAGGCTGCCCTTGGGAGTGGCTTGAACAAATACTTTTGGGTGCCCGCATTTCACTTCCAGACAGAAAAGGACTCATCCCCTCAGGTTGCTACTGGAGGGAATGGTGCTGCTGTTGGTAGCATGAGAAAAGTCCTGTACAGTAAGAGTGCCTGTTTCTTACAGCCACCTAACCTGCCACAATTCTACAGAAGAGAGGCCGGAGATATCACCTGCTGAATGTACTACTGCCAATGTTTACTGGATAAACTGTTGAAGCCTGTAATGGATTTCACCAGCAAGCAAAGTGCAAGTAATGGGGTCAAAGGTGCGAGATAAACGCAACTGCACCATGACTAATTCCAGCATTCCAGCTGAATAATAGCAAACTATACTATGCGCTACTATCAGAAACAGCTGGGCATGCAGAACCTGGCACACGGCTTCTGGCAGGTATGTGCTAAGCTTTAACTGCTGTGATGCAATGCAAGACTGACTGATTTCCATCTGAAAACCCATATGCTCTCAATTTGTTTCCAAACAGCAGGCTACATTTCCTAGGGAAGATTCCTCCCAAACCAGATGCTCGCCAGCTTCTGTCCGCATTCCCCCAGGGGTGAGTTTAAAAGTTGCTCCACAACCTTTTTTTGATGTTCAGAGGCAGCAACCAAGAATGGAGCCAGACTGCTGGTACTTATGGAAAAGGTTGCAGAGCAGCTGTTAAACTGACCTCTGAGAGAAAGCCAACAAGCTTGGGAACATCCCGTTTGGCTCCCAGGGTCTGAGGGTGAAAGTGTTTTAATTGCTTAAATGAGGATGGAGTAAAAATAAACTACAGCAGAACACAACAGCCAGCCAAAGAAGCCAAAACCACAGAGGAAAAGGCGTATGTCAGCTAGACATTGGGAGAGGGACCCCACTTCCAGGTGTTTCTGTGCGAACGCTAGAAGCCTGGGAGTCACTGCCGTTTCAACGATGGCCTCCCATTTTATTGTTGTATTTTACAAGGTGCTATATTTTATGGAAGTGGAAACCACCCGATGGTTTTGATAGGCAAAGGGGAGGATAAAAATGAGTAAGTAAATAATAAAGCAAACAAGCATCTGAGCCAAGGTGGGAGAGCTGAATAATTGTTTTTAAAGGAGAAGATAGATAGAGTAGGCATTAAGTGAAGCCTGGTGGACTGCAGAGAGCCAATGGGTATGAAGTCCATAGGAAGGGCAGAAAAGGACACACAGGAAGTGAGGTCATTCCATACATCCAACAGAGCATCGTTGATGTTAACTAGAACTCCCCAAAGCGACAGACTCTGCCACAGGAGCAATGAGGGTGAGGATATGAGGCCCAAAGCAGAGCAAACTCTTCTATCAATTCTCCATTTGCTTCCTGGGTAGCCGTGGAACTACTGAGGCTTCCAGAACGAGCGCATTTTGCAGCAATAAGATCTGCTAAATCAGCTTCCGTAGCTGCAAGTTTGAGAACAATATCTATTAGGCACTTGTTAGAAGGATGTGTCAAAGGATATTTTTTTGCCCCCTAATTTTCGGGGGGAGTGGGGTGTCTCCCGGGCATAGAAGCAATCCTGGAGCTCCTGGATGAGCCAGTAACTATGGGATAATCCATCTCACAAATTGCTTTGTAGGTCGTTTGTGTCTTCATCTTTTCCCATGGAAACATATTCACATTTCTACTGACCGGGTGACAAGTCAACTTATGTGAAACTAAAATCTGCTTTTCCACTATACAATAGTAACACAAAAAGAGTTTCTAAACCCATTACATGCCTTTGTACCGTTGTATTTGCAATGTATCATGGGTTCTGGGTTATCTCATTTCCCCCTGTCTTTTAACTCCTCTTCTGTGCCTATGCCCCCCTTCCACCCAAATTCAGCCCTCCCCTCCCCACTGTTGCTCCCCACTTCATTCTGGGGTACAACTTTCTCTCCTTTCTGTGTGGAGTGACCTGGAAGTCTCTTTGTACTCAGGAGTGTCCAAGACTGAGTTGTTAGTTGTGTTAGTCAGTAAAGGTAGCAGGCTGGCTTTTCCTTTATTGATGGGGTGGGGGGGGGAGTCTGTTCTGAGGGAATGACAGTCCCACCCTCTGCCAAAAGCACATGATGTACTATTCTGCTGCCTATGAGCCACTGTCACAATCTGCCAACAGCTTCACCACCAAAAACAACTCACAGCAGAGCCACTGGTGCCTGCTTCTGTAAGTGAAGAAACACCAACACCAGACCTAGAAGTTTATCTTCTTCTCCTTTAAAGGAAGAAATTATGCAGCTGAATCTCCCATGTTTGGAGAAATCTCCCATGTTTGGAGAAACCTGCAAGTGCAATGGATGAGCCTCACCCTAGGAAAACCACCTTTTTACAAGGGCAATGGCATCTGCCCTGCCAGGGATTTCCTCCTCCTTAAAAAGAATCAACGTACTCACAGCAAACCACTTGCATGGCTGATAGAGCTGATAGCAGGGCAAGACAAGTGAGGCCAATTGCTGAAACCCATTTTTAGCTAGACATGGAAAATAAGTTTAATCAGAGCATAGTAGCAATCTAATGGTGCCATAAAAATATGTGGGGAAAAGAGAAGGAAGAAGAGTGCATATGGGGTCGGGTGGCAATGTTTCTGTTTTACTTAATATATGTGTGGGGTTTGGTGTCAGCGTTGCTTGTGCAGGTTCTCTGCTATTCACTTGTGTTCCTTTGGTGGTGAGAGACTTTGGGGTTGGCCTGGGGTGTGGTTGTTCATTTGTGGTTGGTTGTGGTGGTCTTTGTTTTTGTGTGTGAGTGGGGTGGGTGGGTGTTTTGGATCAGCTTAGCCATATTGATTCATATGCTATTGGTGGATTTTTGTTGTTGTCTTGTTGGGCTGTGTATGTGATAAAGGGGAGCCATACCGGGGTGAAGGCGTCTTCTTCTATTTGTCCCTGTGTCAGTTTCAGTTTGTTGGTTAATTTTTCTAGTAAGGCTGTTTCCCATACTGTTTGGTACCATTGATCCATGCTTACTCCTGACAGGTCTCTCCAGTGTCTGGTTATGATGTTTCTGGCTGCTGAGAGTAGGTGGGTTATGAGTTCTTTGTGATGTAAATGGGCATTATTGTCTTGGAAGATGTTTAGTAGGGCCAATTCTGGGGTGATTTCTAGTATTTGCTTATTTATTTTACATATTTTTTGTATGGCTGTTGTCCAGAATTTTGGGGCACTCCCACCACATGTGGAGGTATGTGCTTGTGGAGGTGCACCCTCTCCAGCATTTCGGTGAGGTTCCTGTAGGTGAGTTTCAGAGTGAGTTCTTTCCTTTTTGTTGATATGGATTTAAAGGGGGGTTTAGACCATATACAGGTCCACTGGGTGGGGTTAATCTCATAGCCTATGTTGTCCTCCCATTGTTTTTTTGATTGCGTCTCGTGGGTTTATGGGGTTTTGGAGTGGTATTTTGTATATTGCTGATACCATTGCTTTGCCGTGTCCCTTTGTTGGCAAACTACAATTAATGCAGAATGTGGTAGCTACACTGCTGACTAGCAGTGGTCGCTGGGACCATATAGCAACAGACCTAAAGCCTCTAAAAAGGTAAAGGTACCCCTGCCGGTACGGGCCAGTCTTGACAGACTCTGGGGTTGTGCGCTCATCTCACTCTAGAGGCCAGGAGCCAGCGCTGTCCGGAGACACTTCCGGGTCACGTGGCCAGCGTGACAAGCTGCATCTGGCGAGCCAGCGCAGCACACAGAAACGCCGTTTACCTTCCCACTGGTAAGCGGTCCCTATTTATCTACTTGCACCCGGGGGTGCTTTCGAACTGCTAGGTTGGCAGGCGCCTAAAGCCTCTACATTGGCTCAAAATATATTTCTGAGCACAATACAAAGTGTTTGTGCTGACCTTTAATGCCCTAAATGGCCTCAGCCCTGTTTAAACCCCCATCACTTAGTCCAGATACAGTGGTACCTCTGGATACAAACGGGATCTGTTCCAGAGCCCCGTTCGCATCCTGAAGTAAACGCAACCCGCGTCTGCGCATGCTGCGATTCGCCGCTTCCGCGTGATGTCATTTTGACCATCTGCGCATGCGTGAGTGGCGAAACCCAGAAGTAATGCATTTCGTTACTTCCGGGTCACTGCGGAGCACAACCCGAAATCGCTCAACCTGAAGCAACTTCAACCCAAGGTATGACTGTACTGAGATCCAGCTCCAAGGGCCTTCTGGTGGTTCCCTCACTGTGAGAAGTGAAGCTACAGGGAATGCGGCAGAGGGCCTTCTTGGTAGTGGCACCTGCCCTGTGGAACACCCTCCCATCAGATGTCAAAGAGAGAAACAATTCTACGACTTTCTGAAGGCAGCCCTGTATAGGGAAGTTTGTAATGTTTGATGTTTCATTGTGTTTTTATATGTGTTGGAAGCCACCCAGAATAGCTGGGGCAAACCAGTCAGATGGGTGGGGGTACAAATATAATGATGATGGTGACAAATATTGTTCTTGTCTTATAGTTTGATTATGCTTTATTTTGTGATTGTATTTTAGTTCATGTGACTTGTCCTGGGAAGTAAGAAATACGAGAAATAAACATACAGTGGAGCCTAGGTTGTCGAACGCTTCGGAAGTCAAACGTTTCTGCTTTCGAATGCTGACAACCCAGAAGTGAATGTTTCCATTTTCAAACGTGCCTCAGAAGTTGAATGGCTTCCGAGGTGCGTTTCTCCATTTTTTCCAATTGATTTTGTCAACCGTCCATTGAGCCTTGGCTGTTGAATGTTTTGGAAGTTGAACGGTCTTCTGGAACAAATTAGGTTTGACAACTGAGCTTCTACTGTACTACAATGTTTTTATACATGTGAAATGTTGTGGTTATATTGCCCTCTACTGGACTTAGGGCATGGTTCCTTTTAATTACAAAAATAAAAATGAATGAATGGCTACAACAAGGTTAGCAATTTATTTAGTTTTGAATATTAGAAGATATTTGGTATGATGCAAAGTAAGTGAGGATAAATTAATCATAAAACTATGCTTGTTCTTTGTCAAAAGTCCAAGAAGTGATGTATTGCTATTTCAACTCATTTTACAGATATTTGTGGAAAGAGCTAATTACTCCACTATAATCATCTCACTGGGGCATTTAGCTGATTTTGACGTGGCTTTTCTCCCTTGCAGGCTGAGACAATGAGGTGACAATCAACTCCACAAATTTTTCAGCAGCTGACGTGAAAGTAAGGGTCACTATGGCACTTAAGACTCAAATTTGTATAATGGTTAACTTGGTAACTTTCAAAGTTTGATGTGCTATGTATATAAATTGCAGTGGCTGGCGGTTGATAAAGTAAGATTCTGTTTCTCCATCAAACTAACAATCCCATATGTAACAAGGGAGATTGCACCAAACTGGGCCAACCTGGACTTAGAGGTTTGAGAACTTTTATTCACTCACCACGGTTGGAGCATTCACTACCGAAAGGTTGTAGCCGTACAGGAAGGAGGACCCAAAGGCTCCGGCCAAAGAAGCAACAATGAGACTAGCAGACCAGTCCTAAGATGAAAAAAGAAAAATGGAAACGGTTGAGATATTGTAAATCAATCAATAATAATAATCATTATTATTTATTTATATGCCGCCCCATCTAATTGAGTTGCCCCATTCACTCTTTTCAAAGGAAAAAGAGGAGACCATGTGAGGGCAAATCACACATGGCTTCTAATAAAAATATGGTTTACAGTTTTTACAACAAAGGATGCTTTAAAACCCAGCCTTTGGAACAAGTACCATATCTTTTGAGCACTGTTTGTAGAAATAAAGATGGGGGGGGAATACCCTGCCAAATTCTATATGAGCTATAACTAGTACAATAAGAAATAATAATTTTAGAATAAGCATCTGTATTTAAAACATTATTATATCGTCTTTCATAATCAAAAGACATCATAAACATAAATTCTTCCAGTTAACTAAAATATTCTGGCGTAGCAGGTACTGAAAATATCTTCTTCAAAATGTTTGCACAAGCATATTATGTAGGGATGTTGCTCATTGCTCAGACTTTAAACTGAGAAATCAAACAAACAAACAAACAAACAAACAAACAAACAAACAAGTAAATGCCTTTAAATAAATCTGCATTCATTTCCACTTCCTGTCACAGTAATATAGCTGACCCAAATCAGCTTCAAACACATGTCCTAAACTAACAATTTCACTCATTAATTGGTCCCCACACATTAATAGACAAGACCCGACTCATGTCCTGATCCAAGCTTACGACTTCTGGGTATGTATTATTTTAAGGAACACATTAGCAACTTTTGATCAATGTGCTATTGGAAATTTCTTCAAAACTTGCAAATCCCAACCTGGCCCTGCCATTTTCCGTAAGAGTATTGGCAAAATGCCCTCGGAACCTTTCCGCAGTCCCACAAGCTGCTGTGTTTGGTCAAAGTAAGCTTTTATTAAACTATTAAAGAAACACAGCCACTTTTGAACTGTCTTGTAAGGTTGTGTCATAAAGCACCATGGGAACCAGTTGGCTGAAGGGCAGGATAAAAAAGTCTTAAATGCTATTTAAAAATGTGTAACTTTCTCTTAATGAGTAGCTAGACAGCCTAGAAACATGCCCACACCAATTTGTTTGCTCTAATCCACTGTCAGGCATTAGAGCAGACTCCCTGAGAGTTTCAGATTAGAAATGAGATTTTGACTGTGCTTCGTCGTCTCATACAGATTTTCGTAGAAGTGTTTTTCAAGCAACCATTTCCAGAGAGAGGCTAAAACTGTGACGGTTCCTTCTCTCGTCTTCACTTTGGCTATGTAACAGCTCAGCTTTCACCAGTTTCCTGGCACCTGTCCATTGCAGATCATTTGGGCCGACCTATTGTCATGGTGATGGATTTGATTAAAGTGACAACAGAGCAGAGTTATGAAAAGTCCATAGGTAATGTATCTGATTGCTGGTAACCATGAACTCAGCATACTGTGTTTCACCAAGCCTAAAGTCCAGATTTTGTGCTAATAATAGCCTGTCATAGTTTGTTAGCAAAGCACCAACACTGGGTGTTCGAATGCATGATATACATACAAATAAATAAATAAATAAATAGAAGGCAGATGGAGGATGAGATTGATACCTTAAGACGGGCCAGTATTTCCATGGCACAGACAAAATTTAACAAACCTTGAAGGATTGTTGTAAGGCTAAACTCACTGCTCCACGTTCTTCAAAAGATGCATAGGTTCCAATTAAACAGTACTTGTAATTGTCAATATCCTTTATTTTAATCAGAAAAGTACTCTGCTGCTTAAACAGGGCACAAAACTTTGTTTTGATCAGCATGCTGCCATTTTTTATGTTCTGTTCTGACAACACATGTGACTGAGACATGTGCCACCATGGCTAGGCCAGACGTCTCAAGGAACAGGAATAGTTGGTGCACCACCTGAAGCTGGTCAGATACTACCCTGGCTACAGTCACTTTGAACAGGACATAGCAAAACCAGAGCCAGAAGGACCCCAAACTACAAATCTGTGTTGTTGTTTTTAAGGGAAGAGCTATGCAATTCAAAACATTCTGAACCCCTGTTCCTGGGAAGGTCCTCTTCACCACTCAGATAACTGAATTTTCTGAGTTATCACATTATAGAAAGGAGAGATCTGCATGCCACCCACATATTGATAACAATGCACTATAAAATTGCTGTTCAATCTCTCCCAGCTCATTCACATTGACGGGAGACAAAAATGATCTCTGTGGGACATCAAAAGTCAAGGCATGGAGAACCCTTTCTGCGACCAACAATCTAGGAAGCATGAGAAGAACCATAAAGCAGAGCACCCAGCAAGGCTCTCAAGCAGAATATCATGGCTGATGGTACCAAATGAACCCTGAGAGGTCCAGCAAGGGATGAAGTTCACTTGCAGAGTTTCTAGGGCAGCCAAATGGTCTCCAGTCCAAATCCAAGCCAGAAGTTAGATTGAAATTGGTCTAGAGATAATATGTAGAAAAATATACAACACTCTGGAACATCCAAAGCATTTGAAATACACAATGTTAATAATCCTTACAAGCAAAACCTTGCTAGGCAAGCCAATCCCTAGGTATGGGTCAGTCCCATAACCAGAGGGGGGGGGACTCAGAGAAATGACTCAAGAACTTGGAACAGGAGCAGATGGTGTGGTGAGATGCCAGCTCTCACTTGACCTCATCCTGGATGAGAGGGGGATGGGGCAAGGCGGTGGGAGGTGTGCTGTGATGACCTCCCTCCCCAACCCTTCTACCTTCTGGTAAGCACCAGAAACATGACTGACCAAAGGTCAAGTGAGCACGGCCAGCCCACCATGCTGCCTGCTACTGCTTGGAAGAACCAGAGCAGAAGAACCAAGGTTTAAAGTGATCTAATTAAATACAGTTAAAATAACATGCTATTTTCTGAAGTTTAAAAATAAGGGCCCAATGCTTATGAATTATTGCAGTTTCTTTGCCCTCATTGCCCAGACACTGCAGGTTCATTCACAATACAATCTGCACATATAAAAGGGCTTTTATTTTAAAAATAAACTGAAAATTTGGGGAAGATACCTGGAATCTCCCTGAGCCCTCCCCACAGCTGTGGCCCTGCATGTAAAACAGGGAGTGTGGCTCAGAGGACGGGTGTGTGCACAAGGCAGCTGGAGAGTTTAAGGCTCATCCTCATCATGATTTGAAGGGAGAACTTCCTAGCTTATTCCTTCAACCGCTGATTACATATATGCACTCTGGATTTCAAGAATACCCCCCCCCAGTGGCGTAGCGTGGGGGGTGCAGGGGGGGCCGGCCGCACCGGGCGCAACATCTGGGGTTAGGGCAAATCCATAGGTTAGGGGGCGCAAATCCACGGGTTAGGGGGCGCAAATCCACGGGTTAGGGGGTGCAAATTACTTGCCTTGCCCCGGGTGCTGACAACCCACGCTACGCCACTGCCCCCCCCCCAATAAAATTCTGGGAACTGTAGTTTGCTAAACTGCAGCTCTGGAACTGCAGCTCTGTGGGAGACAAACAATAGTTCCCAGGATTCTTGGGTGGAAGAATGTGCTTTAAATATATGGTGTATGCACATGTTACACCAGTAATTGTCAAAATTCTGCAGGGATAGATGTATGGTACTGTTCCTGCTCACGACTGCAGCAGATCCCCCCCCGCCACCCTCAGGCATTCGCTCCATAACACGCACAGACATTTCCCCTTACTTTCTAGGAGGAAAAAAGTGAGTGTTATGGTGCAAAAAATACGGTACTTAACCCGAGGTACCACTGTACAAATTCCTCCCCACCCCCAATGTTACAATGTTCAGCGTTGGCCCTAGTCTGGGGAAGCCAACTGGGCTCTTCTTGAGGCTGCAAAATGTCTCTGGCTGGCACTGGGAGAAGCAAGCCTGATCCTGGAGGGATGTGCTTCACCGCAGCTCCTCACATTCTGAGGCGTCTTTTCAGCCGGGAATGACAGCTAAAGGGTTAAGTCAAGGGCTTAGTGGAGCTCACAGGTAGAGATTAAAACTGGTGGGAGGGAAGAAGAGAGCAGAGAACTTTCTCTGCCTGCTCTGTTTACACTTCCTCTCTCTCTGCCCCTTCGGAGAGGGCTAATAATAACCCGCCAGCTCATTTCGATACAGTTCTTCTCCTTGGGCAACAGTACCCTGCGCCGGGCAGTATTTTTAGCTCTGCTATCCAACAGCTGTAGCGCCAAAGCTCCCTGGAAAGGGAAGAAGTCCGCGTCTGCAGGGCTCTGGTGCAAGTCCCGCTGCCCCTCTGAACGTTGCAGAAAAGACCAAGAATCCCCGGGCGCCAGTTGGAGCCCTGCGCCAGCCCCACTCCCCCCCCCCCAGCGAACTGGAACCGGCCAAGAGCCGGGCTGGCGCAGGACGAGTCCCCAAAGGATCGCGCCTGCTCTTTTGTCTCTGGGGATTATTCTGTGCAAGAATCTCCCCATTGAAACGCGCGCGCAGCAGCCGCAGGTTGTGATGCTGGCCTCTGAGCGCGTGCAAAGCGCACTTTCCAGTATCCAGTAGACCAGAGAGAGGGCAGCCGCGCTCTCGCCACCTGCCACCCATCTGAAGAGCGTCTCTTCCGCGCCCCGTCCCGCCTTCCCGCCCCGGCAAATGCAAGCGCCAGGCGACCTCCGCGCACGCCCTCGGCCAAAGCCGCCTTGCGCGCGGGTGGGAGCCGCGGAAAAGCCACGTGGAGCGCAGCTGTGCGCGCCGGGCTCCGCAGCCCGGACCAGCCAGCCCGGGGCCGCGCGGCGGGGCTCCTTACGTTTCGCCTTCCTCTCTGGCTGCCCGTGCGGAGCAGCGGGTCGAGGTTGGTCATGCTGGGGGCGGCGCGGGGCCTTCTCCTCCGGCGCGCCCGGGCCACATGCACAGTGGCGGCGGCGGCGGCGGCCCGGTACCTGCTTGGCTGCGCCAGGCGGGCGGGGCGTTGCAAAGGTGGAGCGAGGCGAGGCGCCGCCGGGCCCCGCGGCTCAGCAGCCCGGGGGAGGGAGCGGCCCTGCACCGCCTTCTCCGCCAGATCCGGCCAACGCAAATTCGGAGCGGCGCCGGAGTCCAGCCGCGCAGCCACCGGGGCGCAGGCGGCGGCAGCCCGGGCTTCGCAGGCATGGTGGGGCGGGGAGGGGGGGCGAGACGCTTTGGGAAAGGGGGCTTCCCTCTGCCGTGCGCCGCTCCAAATAGCTTTGGCTAGTTGCTGCGGAGCCACGGAGAGGGGTCGCAAGATCACCCCTCAATGTCGGGCTGATTGGAAACATTCCCGAGTGGGTTGCCGGGGGTGGGGATGGATGCGAGGAAATCCCCGTCCACGAGACCGGGGGCGTCGGAGGCGCTTCGCTTATTGCCTGCCGCTTCCCTTCGGTGAAAGAATCCGATTGTTCTCCAGCACATGGCTGAGCTCCGCTTCTCAGCATGTTATGCAACGGCTGCGCTGCGTCATGTTACGTCCGATTAAGGAAAAGGGGGGGGGACCCACACGCTTGTTTTGTGCACTGTGTAATGTTCTCAAGTAATGTCTGAAGGGGCAACATCTTCAGGAGCGGGGGGGGGGGGTCTGCGTCGGGGAGTCGCTGCATCATCACTCTTGCAGGCTACCTCCAGCCTGTTTGGCAGGAGGGATTGAAGCGCATACCAAAACTTTAGGCTTGCACATGCATGCCCTGTTGCTCTAGCGCAACAAATCAACTTTAGAACATGAACTTTGCAGTTTGGAAAGCGATGGATAAAGGCACTGGGGGGAAAGGTGGGGCAAACAAATGGTTAACAGGAAGACATGCAAACATCCTAAAGCAAAGCCAGATGAATGGTGGATGAATGTCATGGCCATGAAGTGCCTCACATAGTAAGCACCCCTTTGCACCCAGTGGCCTGTCAGAGGAGAGTGGATGTGAACAGGGACCTTTTCACTTTTCAAATCGGTTTATGCCACAAATCAATATATAAAACTGTGATTTAAAAATGTAGACACAACTTTTCTTCCTTCTTGCTCCCATTAACAGGGTTTACATATAACACAAACACAACAATCCCCTATTGTAGCTGGATTGTTGTAGCTTTTAGTTTAGGAAAGGTATACTTTCTGTACTTTCTGCAATTTCAATTTTTACACTGTGGGGCCAGATTGGAATACTTTGAAACTGTATCTGGTCCAGAATTCAACAGTGACCATGGAATCAGAGTGGTAGAGTTGGAAGGGATCCCAACGGTCATCTAATCCAACCCCCTGCAGAAATGCCATAGTGGATCTGCATCAGCACAGCCAGACACCTTCCTCTGCCCCAGCTGCAGCAAAATATGTCTCTCCTGTATCGGTCTCTGCAGCCACAGCAGGAACTGGAACTCTCCAATGGTTTGACTTCACCCCCCAAAGGTGTACTCCTCCATTGTCTCCCAAGACAGATACCAACAATAATAACATTACTGAGTCCTGGCCAGAAGAGGCAAGAGAATCCAACATTTTGTGTGTGAAACACACACACTATCCTGCCACATCCAGCTATAAATGCCTATCAGGCTGCCAAGAAAAGCAGCTAAAGGACACCAATCCATTCTCAACTACAGTCGTACGTCAGCTCCTGAACACCTTGGGAGTCAAACGTTCTGGCTCCCGAATGATCGAAAACCGGAAGTGAGTGTTCTGGTTTTCGAACTTTTTTTGGAAGCCAAACGTGTGGTGCGGCTTCTGCTATTGTTTCCTGCGTACCTGCGCAATCGGGAACCAATCAATTGGTTTCTGAATTTTTCGAAAGTTGAACGGACTTCCGGAACAGATTCTGTTCGACTTCCGAGGTACATCTGTACTTTGGTGTGTGGGGGGGGTTCACATTACAAGCTTGTTTTTAGCCCAGAAAACTAACACAGAGGTCCCAAAAGTATAGGCGCCTTGCAAATCCCTGGATTAGGTTGTTTTGCAGTCATTTCTAGAGTTAAGGCAGAGTAGAATGAGTGCATGCCTGATTCTTTCAAAGTTTTCTTGTAGCACCCAAGGTGTTAAGGAAGATGTAGAATGATTTCTGGCAAAAAATAGAGATGAAAATTTTCAAACAGTGTAGTATGAATTTTACACTTGACAGTTAAGATTGCCAAAGGAACCATGCTAAAATGCTTTAATGGCCCCTGAGGGCAAATTTGTTTGACACACCCTAGACAAGTTGTGTAACTGATGGTGTTGAGACATGTGATGCTCAAAGGGATTCTTCCTCTTTTAAGTTTCACACTCTAAATTATAAAGCGTGAAGAGTTTACATAAGAAAACACTGTGATAAGCAACTTCATTTTATAGCCCCTTTCACTCAATCATTAATTGCTTCAGTTTCTAATTCCATCTTACTCAAAATATATTTAGCAGTAACAATTATAGTGGTATATACGAATCTGATGCAAAAGCTTCTTTTTGCATATACAGTCGTACCTTGGGTTACATACGCTTCAGGTTACAGACTCTGCTAACCCAGAAATATTACCTTGGGTTAAGAACTTTGCTTCAGGATGAGAACAGAAATCGTGCTCCAGTGGCGCAGCAGCAGCGGGAGGCCCCATTAGCTAAAGTGGTGCTTCAGGTTAAGAACAGTTTCAGGTTAAGAATGGACCTCTGGAACGAATTAAGTACTTAACTTGAGGTACCACTGTACTGATTCTAGAATAATATAAAAAAGCCAACACTCTTTCTACACCTTTCTCCCCCTCATATCTTGAATAGAACACAGAATTCCCTCCCCGGGCCTCTCCAGAGTCAGACATCACGATTTGTTCTTGTCCTGCCACTGGGCTGGGTATACACATTCATGTTTTCAACACCATTTGTGCCCACAAAAGTTTTGTGGCAGCCATATCGCTTTGTTTACAGTAGGTAAATGACCCATAGTTTCCTACTAAAATCGTGTAACTTTTCATACAACAATTATTCTGGGTGGGGGAGGTGTCCCATTTTTGTTGCACAATAGGACAAGAGTGCCCCTCCAGGTAGCAAAAACACAGTAACTTTGGAGAAGGATTGCAGAGCAACTAATAAAGCACAGTGATGTGTGGATGGTCCAGTATAAATCCATCACTGATGCACTATTGTTATGTCAGCGACAAGTTGCATAATACACCTTCAGAAAAGCACTAGTCTGGAAGGGTCTTAAGTGATTTTCTTTCTAGCAAAGTGGAAAGAATAGATAAAGCAGTCCTTCCTGGTCAGTCTTGCACAGACCTTCCATTGTGTTACTTTGCTGCCTGGATTCTGTTTTGAGCAGTGCAAGTCAACTTCAACAGACTCATTGTTGATAGAGACAAGCAACTGCGAGAAGAGTGGAGAATATTTGCAGAAGGGTCCCTGCCCTCAAGAATTCTAAACTGTCTTGTAATTGCAGGTCTGCAGTGTTAAGCTTTGTGCTGAAAGCGAGCAACAGAAATCACCGAGGATCATATTCTGAGCCAAAGAAAAAAAAGAATGACCTTCAGTACCATTACTGATTTTGAAGCCAAACCACAAGTTCTCCACGGTGTTTCAGATTCAGCCCTTTTTCTTCCTTCTGGTTGTGAGGATTTATTTCTGTTTGCATTATTTATGTCAGGGCTGGTTTTTCCCCATAAGAGAGTTTGCACAGCAAATATCCAGAGGTCCACAATTGTGCTCACCATAGAGCGTGCCCAAATGACCTCTAGCATGTATGACAAGCCTCCATCTCTTTCCACAGCTACAAGGCTGTGGAAGCTGATCATTGCCCCAGCCCAGCCTCCCTGACCTGGTGTTCTGTTTTGGAAGTGCAGCACCAATCAGCGATAACACACACAGAGAGAAAGAATTGTAGCGTTGGGAGGGACCATAAGGGTCATCTAGCCCAGCCCCCTGCAATGCAGGAATCTTTCGTCCAATGTGGGGCTCAAACCCACAACCCTGGGATTAAAAACCTCACGCTCTGTCAACTGAGCTATGTAGTATCTCATCATCCAGGTTCAAGATTCCATCAAAGAACTCTGGCTGTGCAGCCAATACAAAGAAGATCACGAACACAATCCCGTTCCTCCTCTCCTAGTGCCCAAGGTATGTAGACAAGCTAGAAGCTGTTGGACCACTCCAATCAATCACAGCATCCTTGGCAGTTGTACCGTGTTTCCGTGGTCCATGAGGCCACTGGTAGCCCAGCTCCCATGTCTGCCAGCTCTCAGCTGCCCTTGCTGGCAGCCCAAGGGGGGAGCTGCAAATTTGCAAGTGTGCGTCAAGTCACATCCACACGGATACAGTTAAATCAGCAGTCATGTCTTACTCCCAAAGAATGCTGAGAACTTTGTGAAGGGTGCTGGGAATTGTAGCTCTGTGAGTGGTCTCCTCACAACACTCGGCACCCTTAATAAACTATAGTTTCCAGGACTGTGAGGGTGGGGAAGCCATGACTGTTAAATTGGTACAAGACTGCTTTAAATGTTTAGTGCAGATAAAACCAAAATCTAAGCGACACTAGGAAAAAGTTGAGAGCTTGGAAAAATGAGTGCAAAACCCTGAAGAATCATAATCTAATGTCTATCCATTGTATAATATTTGAATTTAAAGAAAGTGGCCATTATCAATAACTGCATCTCTTTGCTTCTAAACTGAGTGTACCATTAACACATTTAAGTACAGTGCTGTATTTCAAAGTGTAAAAATGTATGACTTACCACTTTCTTCTTGACTGCAGGATTATCTTTACTCTCACCATCACTTTTCTCTTTAATCTTCACTCCATCAATCTCCATTATGTTTTCTGTTGAAGACATGAAAAAGTTTTTGCAATTAATTCTCTTAAAATCTGCTGGCATGTATACTGCCACATGAGGAGATCTGCAAGTCACATCAATTGCTGGAGGTTATTTAAAAATGTAAAAATTCAGAATAGAAGGCCTTGGTTTTGTGCAGCAAAAACCTCACACAAGTAGCACCATCATTATACACAGCATCAAGGAACGGCATCTTTCAGGACCCTGTGGGTCTTGACTTTCATTTCAGGGGAAAAGGGGAGATTTATCTACATTTATAGATGGGGGGGGGGAATATTTGACCTTGCCTGATATCAGAACATTGGACCATGCAGACACAGAAAGGACCACACTTCCTGCAGCTGCTGAGCAGAAGAAGGAAATTCAGCAGCTGGAGCTTGTCAATTCCCTTTCCTAAGGAACTATTAAAGATGCAGGAACCAGCTGTTCTTCAAGGGCTAAGGAAACTGAATGCCACATATTGGTTTTAATTAACCAAATCTTCTATCGGTGTTTCACTGTGAGCCTCTAGTTTTTATGTAAGACTGGTGTGAGGTATCTTTGGCCTTCCAGATGTTGCTGAGTTACAGCTCCCATCACCCTTGGCCAGGAATAGGCAAACTCGGCCCTTCAGATGTTTTTGGCCTACAACTCCCATGATCCCTAGCTAACAGGACCAGTGGTCAGGGATGATGGGAATTGTAGTCTCAAAACATCTGGAGGGCCGAGTTTGCTTATGCCTGTCCTTGGTCATTGGCTGTGCTTGCTGGGGCTTATAGCAAAAGCTCTCCACACTTGCTGTGATGTATTAACATTGGGATAGTTGTGTGTGTGTGTGTGTGTGTGTGTGTGTGTGTGTGTGTGTGTGTAACGGCAGCAGTTTTCAAACAGCGATTATGCAGAGTACCAATAAATTCAATTCATATCCTAATTAAGCAGTGACACATTTCTTTGCATCCTGGAAAGGAAGAATGCTTCATACAGTCGAAACCCCAGCAGGAATTAAGGTTGATGGCTCTAATTACAATGCTGAAGTTGTGTTTAAGCCAAGATGGCAGCACTGTTCTCCTGGAAAGGCAATCAAACATACGCTATCAGGGCTGCCCAAAAGCCATTACAATACGGTGCTTAAGATTCATTATTATTCTATGGGATGGGAATGCCATCTGTGTAACACTTGAGAGATCCAGCCTATGGATATTCAGTTTAGTTCTGCACCAACCTTTAGCACCCAAACTTTATTAGCCAGATTAAATGGCAATATTTATGTATATAATACTTTTGCTGTCTTCAAAGATAACATCCATATTATTACCAGGAACTAGAAACTTTACAAATTAGCGCATACAATCAACCTCAGTTGATATTAGAAGTTGTAGCTTGATCTACTTTATGCCACAGTTAGGATGTCCTGTTCTGCTATCCCTTCAGTGCCGGATTTACGTATAAGCCAAGCAAGCTATAGCTTAGGGCCCCACTCCCTTGGGGGCCCCCCAAAAAATTAAAGAAAAACCTAAATCTGGCCCTGTATCCCTTGCCTTTTAAACGAGAGGTAGAGGTATTTTATTCTCTCCCACTGACATTAATGGGCCTTACTGGGTCTGCCTGAATCTGCCCCCCCCCTCCCACTGCTCCTTCCCTGCCTCTGTCCTTGTACAATTAGGGATTTCAAATCCCACAGAGACCCAAGGCTGTACCAAGACTTCTTCACTAGGTGGAGCTGCCACATTCTGTGTGGAGCTTCAAAGAAAGAAATGGATATTTCAATGTCTATGCGTTGTTGGCATATTCCACAACAGGCATAGGCAAACTCGGCCCTCCAGATGTTTTGGGACTACAATTCCCATCATCCCTGACCACTGGTCCTGTTAGCTAGGAATCATGGGAGTTGGAAGCCAAAGACATCTGGAGGGCCAAGTTTGCCTATGCCAGTTCTAGAAGAAGTACTTTAAGCGCCAACATCTTTATAACAGCCCTTTGAAAGCAGCCCTGTTTAGGGAAGTTTTAAATGTTTGATGTGTTTTATTGTGCTTTTAATATTCTGTTGAGATCCACCCAGAGTGGCTGGGAAAACTAGATGGGCAGGGTATAAATAATAAATTGTTATGATGATAATGATAATGATAAAAACACTTTCTTAAAGGGGACTTCTGCTGGAGACTCCGGAAAGCCACCAGCACCAGTCAGCACTGGGCTAGCTAAACAACTTGTCTGAAGGAAGCTTCCTAGAGTCATTGAGTGATAACTTCTTTTGAGCACTCTGCACTGCTCAGTCACAATGGCTAAAGGGACTCTCCCCCTGCCCCAGTGAGTTACGTATGGTACAATGGACAATGATCTGCAAAGTTCCTGTGCATGTGTGGTCACTATCCTTTTGGGGGTACAAACCACCACTAACTTCTTTTTATTAAATTTGTATGCCACCCTTCATCTGAAGATCACAGTGTTATGTACTGAAGTTCTCACCCTGGGCCAGCAGGGGGATACTGTAGATAGTTTTCACTCAGGTCAGCATATGCAAATAAGGAATTGAAAGTGACGTTCAGTGATTGGATAGTTACAGAAAGTTGTTACTGTTCCTTTGTAGTTGAGCTCTATATAAGCAGGTTGGCTGAACCCTTCAGTCCAGTTCTGTTCTGGCCTGGAATAAACAAGAGCTGTTTGAAGAATCGCTGTGTCGTCTGATATGTTCACCCACAACTTAACACTCAGGGTGGTTTGCAACACAAAGGTACAAAATGAGAACACAAAATTCACAATAAATGACAACAAACCCATAACCCCTCCTTCTGCAAGCACATTATTAATTATTGTGTCAACACAACACCGAAGTCTCCAGAATTGCCATGAGTTGCATCTAAGATTGTCTCAAGTGCAGACTCATAATATAACACATATTGTGATTGCAGTGAAAGGATGGGATACAAATTTCCTTATATTAAAAAAAATGTCACTTGCTATATCCAGTCTTAAATTTGATATTACGTAAATTTATTCACAACACAATCTAGCCAGAGTGAAACACTTCAATATTCTCTCTGTTTCATAGGTAGATAGTTAAGCACGGCACAGGGTCTAAATTACTAAGCAATTGATTTAACAGGCCTTCGAAATCTCCCCTGGTACTGATGACTGGCTGGCAGAACTACTAGAAATTCTATTCTAGGAGTATTTGACACTTAAATGAAGGAATACCTTATAGTCATTTAATAGCCCGGGATGTGGGATAGGTTTCTGTACATGAAGCTGTACATTTTCCCAGAGCAAGTCATTGTGACCCAATAGCTCATTTGCGCCTTGCCAAATGACAACCAACCATTTCTCTTTCCCTCCTTTTTCTTTTTCCGTTTATCTTTTTATTTACACAGATAAAGACTGGACTCTCAGCAAGTGCACGGAGATCAAGCAGATAACAACGAGGACATAACTTAATTATAAGGTGTTTCTTTTGTTCCAGATAATTTCATATCTAGAAAGCGATACTGGGTGATACCCAACTAAGTCATACAGATTGAAATCAATGGGCTTAAGTTCATTGACATAAACAGGTCGACTCTGAATATGACTTAGTTGGATATCACCTGATGTGTTTGTATTTCTGAATTTCAAGTTTTGTTTTAATCTTAATATTATTTAAAAAAAACACCAAAAGAAGCACGGAGCAGATTATTTTTTAGTAACATACTAAAAAACAAACTACTAT